TATAGAAGGTGATCATGTCAGTTCTGTAAGTCAACAGAAATGGGTACACTGAGAGATGTGGTGTTTGGTGATTATGTCTTTTTGTCTTAAACAAGCTTAGAGAAGCAGATTATCAGTTTTGTACACATTACTAACATCACTACAATTTCAGAGGGAGCTGCACAATGAAGGGAAAATAGCAGCTCGTGGCTGATTGCTGGGATTAATATGCAATTATCATTATATTAAGAATTTGGGTTTGCACTACAATCCTATTTTTCATTAATTGCTACGCTTGTCCTGTTTTGTTTCTCTGGGAAAGTAAGGTAAAATGATACGTTTTTGTTCTGGTTTTCGAGAGTAATAATGACATCTTTCAGACAGCACATTCTCACCTTCCTTTGGAAAGGCACTCACCAGGTGAGAGTCAGGGAATGGAATGCCTTCTCCTCAAAAACCTCAGAGCGGGGAAAATACATTATACAACAGGAAGAAAAATGAAGATGGAGGCAATGCTAAGGCTGCACGGCAGCGATTTACAGTAAAATATACTGCAGAGATAATGCAATTGTTCAAAGCCCAGAAACTATAACCCTTGGACATTCTAAGTTAAAATCAAACTTAACGAGAAAACCAAATGAAGCGTAAAGAAATGCAAAGCCAAAACATCCAAAAAATCTCAATTATGCTTGGTTAAAAGCTCTTTAAAATCTCTGACTAGCTAAAAGGCACGACATTTGTGTGCATAATATGTGTGTGTTTATATATAAACTAATACACGCATGCTTTTGAAGATGAATCATGCATTTCCACTTCATATTCTGTAACTGGAAATTTGTTAGAAATCTCTTTCTGTTTTACAGGGAAGGGGAAAAAAAAAAAAAAAAAAGAAAAAAGAAATAAAAGTACTGCACGCCTTTAGAAATCTCTTAATCGTATCCAAGTCCACAATTGTAGAACCATCTCAATACGAACGTTACGTTTTTGCCTGGTTACAGTCACCACAGTAACACCCGTGTAGCTGCTAAAAAGCTCATCTCCTGGAAAAAAAAAGAGCAGGGAAAGCATAAATGGGAGAGCGATATATGAACCAGATATCTGCAGTGCATCAGAGGGACCTCAGCAAGGCTTTACAGAATCTGACAAAGGTGCAAGGTGTGCACTGGAGGCTACATACATCTCTTTGAGTTGCAGGAGGGTATCTCTATGAGTCCAGAGGGAACAGCTACTGATGCAAAGCCTTATGATGGAGGCAGCTGCTGTGCGAGGACTGGAGATTCCTGGGCCATCTATTAGGGAGTCTGCTCCTCTGGGAAGGAGAAGGCTTGAGAGCTGGGCTGAGGGAACATGTGTGGTGTGTGGGGAGTCAGCCAGACCCAGCTCCACAGTTCGGCCCTGTGATGGACACTGTCCTAGTCCCAGGTGCCATATCAAACCTTGTCTATTCAAGAAGCAGCTCTGGAAATGTTAAGCAGTTGTTAGATCAAAATTGGATCCTGATGGCATGGTAGGACAACAGCACAGGCATATCGAGGTGAATGATGAACCTCTCCTGGGCTCTTGTATAGAAATGATCAGGCTGTCTTGAGGAGCTAAGGAAGGGTGTTCATAGGCAGCATCAGAAACACCAGTTTTTATCATGGAGTGAGACTGTACTGGCAAAGCTTAAAAACCTGCCCCTCCTCTACTAGCAACAGCTGGACTTTCCCTGACTGACTACTCTGTCTGCTCCATGTCCCAGATGTGTAACAGGGTTACAACCCAGATGTAACCCTGTTAATTACAGAGGTATTGGCTGTAGCTCCCATAGGCAAAACCTTGCACTCTATGTGCATATTAGACTGGAAAAATACAGTATACTTTCCCCAAACTAAAAGCAGTACCTCTATCACGTAAAGGATTAACATATAAGAAGCTACCTGACATCTGCTAGTATTTCCTTGTAGGAGAGTCAGGCTGCTTACCTTGGATCAGTGGTCGATACCATCATGCATTAATCTCTCAGAAGATTTGCTCTGCCTCAGAATAAAAACTCTCACTCCTCTGCACACATCGTTGTTCATATTGGTCAAATGTACCGATTAAAAAAAAGAAGGAACAAAAACCAAAACTATTTCAGTGAGCCCTTTTTCCTGAAAAGAACTGCATTTTTGCCAATTTGCTGTACTCCCAACTTCTAGTACCTGATCAGTGAGTTACAGGCTGAGCGTTTCAGTTCTCTGCTGCCACGATATTTCTGCTTGGATCATGACAAGAAAAGATTCCTTAAAAAAAACCAACTTGGGTTCTTCATGGTCTCTAGAGGAGAAAACCAACACAGAGCTTCAGACACGGTCTGTTCTGGCCTATAACAGCACACTGGAGACCTGCATTCCCAAGAAGCTCCCAAACCAAGACTGCACATCAACCACACATCACTACGTGGTTCCCCAGCATCCAAGGAACGACACATTTTAAACCCTACAGAAACCATTCTTCCTTGACTGCAACCAACTTTTGTTTCACTTTTTCTTTGCTCAAAGCTCTGGTCATCAGACTTGCCCAGGCAGGAATTAATTTTCCTTTGTGATTGCTAATGGATAACTCAATCATGGTAGTTAAAAAAGCATGATGTGGTATGAGTCAGCAAGGAATGGTGACACATGGAGGACCTGGAAATTTTTCCTCGTTCCTTTCTGTCCATCTTCAGTAGAACCTGGGTGTTGTCAGCCAGATGTTGGGTGGTGCTTTGGAAGAAGCCAGCAGGTGGGCTGAGACGTGGCTTGTCCCAGGAAGACAGGGCTTCTTTGCTCTGTTTCCAGCTAGAGGGGAAGAGCTGGCAGCCAGGTAAGACAGACAGCAAGACAAACTGAGAAGGCAAAAGGAGCTGAAGGGAGAGCACTGTTGAACTTACCCTGCTTCACTATCCATTTGTCATAAAGTCTGATTTAAGATGCAACTTATTGTTTTTATCTCTGAAATACAATTGATTTTATAAGTCAGACACGATCCCAGAGCCAGTGCTGTCCAAATAGTGATTTTTAATAAAGCAGAGGCTAAGCATGTGTGAAAGGAGTCCACACAGCACAGATGCTGCAACGATCTCAGAAACATTAGAAACTGAAATGAAGTTTAGCTCTGCACACTAATGAAAAATGCCTATACAGGTTCCTAGACAAACCAGTTCAGAAGAAATTAAAAAAATCTCAATTTATTGCAGTGCAGACTTTTGTTATCCAGTTACATGAAGTACTCATCATAATTAAAATATTTTGGTCATTTATCTCATATGGATTTTTTCTAAATTTAACCCTAACACTTGTTAGCTTTACAGTAATTTTCCTAGGAGTAATTACTAAATTTCCATAGCAGCAATTTGGAAGCTTAGAAGTATATAACCTCAGCCTCACTCCCTCCATCGTAGCAAAGATTTTTGCCTCGAAACCTACTTTCCCCAATTCACATTTTTAAAGCATGGCACATGATCAATAACGTGAAAGTGCAAAAAACTTTCTCATCTGATAATTCTGATTGATTTTTAGATGAAATAATTAAACTAACTGTTAAGACCAAGTTCATCAATACAATCTGACTGCTGTGTTCCCTCCCTCTTGAGAAAGAGGAATCAATCAGGGTCTCCTGGCTCGTGTAACCTGTCATAGCTACCGTGCTGCTCTGAGAACCAAATTGCCATTTCACACCTGATTGTTTTCACCTTGCTCTTATAACCACCTGCACACACCCCTGGCTCCAAATTATGCCCTCCTCCTGAATCTTCTACACTGCACTGTACATTTCCAGAAGCCTCCACCTCCATTCTGTCCCGTGTGCTCCTTTCTACACTATCAGGTTGCTTTGTGAAACGTCAAATACAGTTTTAGAAAGACATATTGTATTTTTCACAGATAACAGAGATTGAGTGGCAAATTGTGCTAAATGCCAAATTTATTTCCATTTTGATGACAGATGCATATCTACAAATTAACGCCCTCTGCTCAGACTGTACTTTAACAGTGGGGCTTTACTACCAACCAGTTTCTGCAAAGCAGAGCAGGTTGCTGGTGGAGTATGAAATGGGAAAGTCAAGAAGAGTCTCCGAGGCTTTCTCTGAAAGCCAAGCAGCTTCTTCATAGGGATGGCTGCCTGAAATCAAAATTTCATCTCTTAAGACATGTGGCTTAGTTAAAAAAAAAAATCCCTCCCTAACATGTCTTGCTTATACCTGAGTTTTTGCTGAATCAAGAAGTCCATGAAAATGTGCCTTAAGGTTATGCATATCCAAGCTCATAGGAGCCAGTGAAAGAAGTGGATCCTGCAGTGAGGATCTGGAAATGGATTCACTCTCATCCAGCAGATGACAACTTGTGCTGCCACTGAGCTGCTCCTGCACCCAAGTGGTTGGAGAGAGGAATCTCTTCAAGGCAGTAAACTGGGCAGGATATGACTGGAGATCAGGGACGTACGTCATTGTTATGCGCAGTCGGAGAAGGGATTCTTTGTATTGGTTTCCTGATGAGCGATGCGTGAAATGTTCACAGATTTGGTTGTATTCAAGGGCCGCAGTGGCATGTGTGTACATACCAGCTGATACTCTGATTATCTACCTCTGCAACAACCGAGAGAAAGCCCTCAAAAATTTCGGCTGGTAACACTCAAATTTAATACATTCTATGGAATGCACTCTCATGGAGCAACAGATTCAAAACATTTGCAGCAGTTTATGCTGAAGAAATGGCTAGAAACTCTGGAAGATGTATAGAATATGGAGCAACTTACAGCCTGAATCAGGCACTTTGCATGGCAGAGCACAGCAGTCAGTCATAGCAGATCCAGTCCTCCCCATCCAAACTCTTCTTCACTGACAAACATTCTTCAACATTCCTAAGATCAACTGGTGTTTGCAAGTTGCAGGAGAGATAGAAATCAGTGTTTGTCTATATTTGACAATGTTATTTGAAGTACAAGATAGATTACAGATAATTTATAAATCTCTCTGAAAAACAATGGTTTCTGAAGTTTTAAAATCAGTTTAATAGCCATGCAACTTGATGGCTCAATAAATGACCTTCTAGAAAACACATTATTTTTAAAATCAGTTTTTAATATATATTCCAAAGGCTTATTTACAGTACATCTAGCCATTAACTCTGCAACTAAGCACAGGTGCAGATGTGGTCATCAGCAGACACACGTATTTTCAGCTACTTACGTAGCTCCAAAATCCAAGATATTTCCCAGTTGGTATGGCTCTAACAGGTGCAAATGGAAGAAAAATGGGTTAGATTGGAAGGACATCAAAAGTTGATAAGCCTCCCTTCTAACAGTTTACACTGCGATGCACAAATATCTAACAATAACTTCCATCAGAGATCAGTAGATTTTCCCTTATAGGTGAAACTTGATACATTAAACCTTGTGAAAGCATTCATTTTTGATCACATTTAAAAAACAAAATTACAGTATGTCTTGGCTGCCTTTCAAGTGCCAGATTAACACCTTGGTGGCTGCACCCTGCTTCCATTAAAAACAATGGGACATGCATGACACTGCCTGGCCTTCAAACTTCAAACCTTCAAACATTTGACTAAGTCAAATGAAACAAAGGAAAATTAAAAAAAGGGGGGATTAAAAAGAAATTGCTGTAGGTTACACAGCAACAGAGCCAGAAGTCAAACTCAGGAACCCTGCCTACCATTGCTTACATCTACTGTGGGGAGTTAAATGGGAACAAACAGGAAGAGGCACTGACATACACTAAGAAGAAAAGTGGGTGTTAGGAAATTGTGATATTATGGTGCATCAAGACAAGAGAATAGAGGAAGAGAACTAAAAAAAAGTGGAGAGGAAAAATATCTAAAGCTGCAATTAGAAAGGAAAATAAAGATGATACGAAAAAAAAACAACATATGTAACAGGAGATACATTATTAGAGACATTTTTGAGATGTTAAATAGTTGACTGTCAAAATAGCTTCATGAAATACACAGACAGCATGTTTGCCTCAAACAGGTATGTTTACTGTTGCATTACAATGGTTTGAGTGATATGCTGTTGCTGACAGGAAGTCTTCTCTTTAATCCTCATCCATCCTAGCCACAAGTCACACTTGCAGCTGCCTCAAAAATACTATCACAAAGCATTCATTACTGAGGGCATTTGGCAAAACCTAAAACCCAGCAATGCTCATGCCCTCAGTGTTCTGAAAAGGCAAATTATTTCAATTATGTGGCATAAAACTTGCAATTCTTCATGCTGCTTTCTTCACAAATGCACCGCTGAAGTGGCTGACACAGCATAAACCAGAAGGATGCTGTGACTGTCCCAGAACTGATCAACTCACATCCAGGTGACAACCAACATCCTGCCAGTGGAGCCCGGCACAGCCAACATGTTACCGGCTTCACGGGGCAGTGGCAGGCTCAGAACAAGAGCCTGGAATGGAGATCTGTGATAAAAAGAATGGAATGTGAAATACAAGAATGAACAACCTCCAGAGCTCTGTTAGTACTCTCTACTCAAACATTTCAATAAGCTGAAAGAATAGATGAGGTGTTTTCCTCTGCTGCTAGCTTAGTTTGCATCTGCTTGAACCAAACCCAAAGATATTCTTAAAATAATAAAAGCATTCTGCACAAGCTTCAGGCTACCTCCCAACCAAACCCATCTTCCCAACTACCAAAAGCCCTCTGCCCAGGGTTCTGAAGTCAAAAGTGTTTGAAATGATTTTATTTTCCAAAAGCAGCATTTTTCAGAATTTCACTTTTAAATTCTGACTATTGTGTAACTACTGCAAAAGGGTAAACAACAGGACCCTGGTCTCAGCAGTTGCACTACTGCATCTGTAGAGGAACCAGACTAAAGCTCTGCTACTGGTAGCACTCACAAAGTCCATCTATCCAAGGGCATCAGAACAGATGGACCCACATAACACAGGGATGAATCCACCCTCATGTTCTGCAACAGCTCAACATCAGCACTAGTCAAATCAGAAAGAAAATACACATAGAAAAGGTTGCTTTGCTTTTCAGCACTCAGTGCCAGAGTCTTTTGCATTCTGCTTCCCAGCCTCAGTTTTGGAAACAGCCATCAACTGTCCACACTCTCCATCATTTGACAAGTGCAGCCAGTTACAGGGATCTGCATCCCTGGAGGCACGCATCTCCTGAGGAGGATGCAAGAGGCAGAGGAGGGACATCATGAGCTGCGGCCACAGATCTGCTCGATATCATAGATCTCCTTGGGACAGTCAGCAGACAAGATGAGAGGAGAATCGTCTGCTATCACAACATCATCCTCAATGCGTACACCAATGCCACGAAATCTCTCTGGGGCACTCACATCATCTTCAGGGATATAAAGTCCTGAAAGAAGGGAGGGAATTAAAACATGCCACACTCTCCAAAACACCTTTCCCTCTCTGCACCCACCATAAGAACAGGGTTAGAATTTCAGCAGTATAAGAAGAATTTGACCTTGAAGAAGTTTAATAAGGAAAACTGCTCTCTTTCCCCTCAATCACAGCAGCTGGTAAACAAAGAAGGGGAAGTATCTGACAGTGCCTACGGACACTAGCATGTTAATAAAACTTCCACAATTACTGCTGGTCCTTCGGCACTTTCTGCTCTCAATACTGTGTTCACAGTGATGATTTTAACAGTGTTCCAAATAGAAAGAGAGAAGAGCCAAGCATTAAATATCAGTTTTCATCTGCCAGCTCCAAAATAGGTGACGAGTAGAAATAAAGTCTCATTGTGAAATGCCTCGTTTGCAAAGATAAGTTGTGAATGCTTATAATTGTGGGCTGCAAGGCTCAAGAGCAACTTACACTACAAGTGACTGGTTGAAGTTTAGTTACAATAACACAGACCACAGCACAAATGAATTTACTCTGCTTCTCTGCGCTGCAACTGACATGTAATGCTGAGGATCAAACGCCAGCAGTCTTAAGTTCTAAATTATTCTGTCTCTTGCTGCACAGACACTTTCTGAGAATTCATGCCCACACGTTGGCTGTATTTGAGATGGAAACACAATTTTCAAATATTCTAATATTTTGGGAGGGGTGTAAGATAAGGTTTTCCAACATTTCAGTCATTTTCAAGTTCATCAGGAAAGGACCTGAATGCTTTGGTCAGAGGAAGCAACTAACAATTCAAAGTAGTACTGTTATCCTCAGCGTTATATGATTTTGTCCACCACTGACTGTATCTTTTTACCTGGTTCAATGGTTATCACCATGCCTGGCTGGAGTGGGACAGACCGGGATATATCTGGGGTATCATGAACATCCATGCCCAAGTAATGGCCCACGTGATGTGGGCAGTACCTTCGAACAGCCTGTCAGAAAACAAAGCAAGTGTTATGGAGGTAATTAAATGCAGCCAATCTGTTGTTCAAATGCAGAAGATGGGAAGAAGAGAGACAGCAGTTATGTGCTGTGCTTAGTTATCTGCTTGTCCCTGGGCCCTCAATTTACCAGAACTGAAGGGCCCTCAAAACCTAACAGTACAAACTGCCTATTCTGAATGCCTTTCCACTCAAGCACAAGCTTAAGCACATCCACACCTTAGCATGACAGGCAAGACTTCAGTTTTTATCTCACTGACCTTTGCTGCCCCAATCCTTCCCATCACTTAAACATCCACACCCTGTGTGGCTCCTATCAGCAGACCACAACAAATGGCAGCAGCCAGCACAGCTGCTAGGTGCTGTGGTGTAGCAGTCACGTATGCATTAAAGAAAAGAAGCAATGCCAATTCCATCCAGCAGCTACAGCAGGATTCTAACCCATCTCTACTGGGCACTGTTACCACCTCCCCTTGCACCATCCTAATCCCCTCTCTCCAGAGAGGAGCTCCCGTCAGCAGGAATCAAAGAGCTAATTCCTCCTCTGTCCCCCAGCGGCTCATGTTCACTGAGGACTGAGCTGCAGACGTTGCTCTCATCTGGCTGTGCTGCCACCTGCCGAGAGAAATTGGCATGATCGCCTCCATTCGGAGGCGAGAACTTGTGCTGTTACCGTACTGACGCTGTAGGACAATTAAATCTGGCAGAAGTTTGTACTGCTGCCAAAAGGATAGTTCTTCCACCTGGTCCCTGCCATCTTTTCTGGTACTGGCATCAGCAATCATGCAGATTTGCGATGAGTGGGACCAGAAAACTTCTTTAATGGCAAAACAATCCTATTTTACCTGCAGGTTTAGCTCCAAGGCAGCCCAGTTCCCCACTGCGTTCTCCAGATAATTCTGTGAATCCCAGCAGTGACACAGAGAGGTACAGAAGAGGCAGCAGGTGGAAACACTGAGAAACTGGGCTGCACTTTTTGGTGGCATTGCAGATTAACGTTATTTTAAACAAATCTCAAAACTCTGACTAATTGCCTGCAGTCAACCATGCACACAGCCTTCTGTATCAGTGCCAATGTTTCCCTAGGTCTGTTTGGATTACTTGTATTTTAAAGCTACATCGACATTAATAAGACCACTGGAAATGGATTTGCAGAGGGAAAAAGAAAGTGCAAGAGGGACAGTATCCTCACTGCACGTGTGTAAGGCCTGGGTGTTATTTCAGACCAAATTGTGGGCTGAATGCCCATTAGGGATTGAAACAGATCTTCAAATTTAGCCTCACCTGAAAGAAATCCGGTCCAGCACTGAGACCAGCCCACAACATGAATTAAGTAGGGATAATTAAAAGATTCATTTCAAAAGCATATTCCTGATCTAAACTAAAGCCACTAACATAACCTACAGATGCAACAATCACAGTGGGGAGAAGCTGGATTAAAAAAACTTTCAGGCACCTTAAAGAAGTGGTTGTCAGTGATGCTGCTCTTTAGAATCCCCAAGTCTTTCAGCTTCTGTCCAATAAGGCTCAGCATGAGGCTGTAGATATTTTCTAGACTCACACCTGGGGAGCAGAGGCTCAGGCAGGATTTCTGGATGTCCAGGACAGCCTGGTACAGTTCTGCTTGAGGTTTGGTGAACCTGCAAATCATTGAGAAAAGGAACAAAGCACATTTCTCACAATTAAGTCCTCCACCCAGAAGTTGTTTTAGAGACAGATTCAGTTCAGTGCTGAAGCAAGAAAAGTCAGAAAGGGAAGCAACTGTCTCCTTATGGGAAATGCCAGACAAGGTAACACTGAAACATGCCCTTCAACACACTGTGTAGAGGCAGGGTTTCTACTTAACCTCCTTACCCCAAAGCAAGCCAAGGCAACACTACTGCTGGAGACAGAACACACTTGAGCCCAATATGCAGGAATCAAACACACAACCAGAGGGACACTGCACCAGCCATGTACTGGTTAGCTAAACTCCTGTTCTAGTACTCTGAGTAAGGAACAGCTGAATGCACAAAAGCCATCTCTTCTCTTTAAACATACCATAATACCTGAAAAAGCAGCAATTAATGAAACAGTGGGAAATACAGCTTCTCACATTGAAAGATTTGTTTGTATAATTTCATTACCCCAAAGAACTACAGAAGGGGACATACTTGAGCTATTGTCACAGACTACACACACACACACTCAGACTGTGCATTATTTAAGATCTTCTCACACTCTTTCAAAACAGCCTTGTCATAACATACCTTCCATTGATGGGCCAGGTTCGTGTGATGTCGCTTACGTAGCAGGAGGACTCACATCCACCATCTAGCAAGACCATTTCACCATCCTGAGAATAACAGGAAAAAATGCCGTGTGGATCAGTGGGTATTAAGTGAACTGATTTCTCAGAGAAGAGGAAAGGAGATGATGCAGTGATTTTTGCAAAGCAGCTGCAGAGATGTGAACTCCTTTTGCAGAACAACACGCCAGCTGCTATTACTTATAAATAGGCTGCTGCAGTTGGATTGCTTCTCTGCAAGAGTCTCTCACTATTAGGCTTATCTATAGTCTGAGCTCTAACACACTGATGTCAAACACTTTAGAGTAAAAAAGACATTTTCCTTGAACTATTCTGTGCTCTGAGATATCAGCCCCATTGACACTGGAACTCCTACTCCAGCAAATTATACAGCTGACTCCTTTCACCAGTAGTTCTCTGCTTGTGACTGAGACAGAAAGGTTTTGTAAGGAAAAAAAGAGGTTTCTGAGATACCCACAAGATCATTAACGAGTAAAAATATTAGCCTTGTCACAAGACCTAGCAAAATAGCTTCTCTGATAGTACATCACTACTGTAAAATTGCTGTTTAATAATTTCTACCATCTTTCTTCTTCTCTTTTGGGGCTTTCTTGACTGCTCTAAGATACACTTCTGAATTTATCTGGTGATGAAAAACAGACTTCTGGAGATACAAGTCTCCAAATCAATTCAGCAAATCTGTCCCATGTCAATCGAATTGCTGACTGCACATTTTCCAAAAAAAGCAATGCCAAAAAGACCAAGGTCCAAGAACAAACCCACTGCCTTGCTTTTCCTCCTTAAAGGCATGAGAAACAACTAAGAGCAATCAGATCTGTGAAAACTTTGGATTTAATTATCTGTGGATTTACCTTCCTTCTATGATTACTTTATACAGAGACTTTTATAGAGATTTATTCTACAGGTCAGCGACAGTGCCAGCAGCCTTGATGTGGCATGACAAAGAATAATTCCAGCATATTAATGGAAAAAAGGATAATGCTAGCATTGCTTCCATTGCTAGCTACTGTCAATATGTGTCACACACACACTGTACAAAAACTAGAAGTAAGATGATCTCACTACTACTCTCCATTTAAACTCTATTTAAAACTTTTTCAAAACAGCTGGTTCGATTATTTAAGTAAAATATGAAATTATAGTACCTGTCCTAAGTAACATTCTAATGGCTAAGGAAATTCAGCCTGTGGTTTGACTGCTCGCTGCCTTATTATGCCAAGAGTTTTGCCCTCTTTCTTTAAAGCTGAGTCCACTAAGTGATGGACTGAAGTCCACATCTGGCCATACGCAGCCTTCAGATACCTTCTAACTTAGATACCTTGTCAGCCTATTTGGCAACAAGATGTGTAAGAGGCTGTTCATAAAAGAAAAGTCAAGTTTGTGAGTTTAACCTCCTACTTGCTAGTTTAGAAAAAAAACAAGTGACAGTTGCTTAACAGATCAACTTTAGCAGAAGCAACTGAAGTTACACGTGCATGCCTGACCTTGGATGACAGAACAACAAAAGAGGTTTATTTCTGCCAAAAACAGTCTGTCATATCTTTTGTACATGTGTCTCTACAGATCATTTCAAGGTCCGCTTGTATGCCAGCTTCAAGAAAAAAACAATGCTGGCAAGAAAAGTTTCATCTTGCATTAACGTGAAACATAAATATGCCTGAATCTAAACATAAATACTTACCTGAATCTAAAGGTGTTTTATCAGGAAAGCTGGAGAGGGTTCAAATCAATGCTATGAATAATCAAAATACATTCATTAATACATTAATTTACCTACAACTGTTTAATTCGTCCCTCAATGTTTAATGGTAGACCTTTCCTATTCCCCTTCCCTGTTTTATTGGCCAAATGGTGTCTGAAATTCATTTCAGCCTAGCCAGAGAAGGAATGCACTACTGCACCTTTGGTTGCAAGGCAAGGTCAAGAAATGCAAGTGACAGCAGAAGGATTCCAGAGTGCTTTTACTCTATCTACAGTCATCCTCTAATTTGTGAGGGCAGCAATTCATCCAGTACTGCACCACTGAAACATGGTCTGGAGCTGGCACCCTTGCTAAATTAAATATTTACAAGCTTGTTTCCAAGTCCTTCCACCTTCCACAGAAAATACAGCAGCAAGTGCACAGAGGAGAGAAAGAGACTAGAAGGAATGAAGTTAATCTATCACTGACAGTAAAGTTTACCAGGAGAGAATCCCTTTCACCCGCTAACTTGAAAACATTGAAGTGTTTCGATCTGTTCAGCCAAAACAGATCAGCAAGGGGATGCACATGGGAACAGTGTGTCACATAAATACATTTCAAGTAACTGGACGGCATACGATTTACCTTAATGAGCTGATTGTTCTTCACATAGTGCAAAGTATTTGATCTACTGCCACCAGCAACAACAGGGGGGTAGGCCAAGATGTCAGCACCACGAGCTCGGCACTCAAATTCAAACTGGAATATCGATTCAAAGAGGAGGAGATTGTTAGTGCTGATCTTGGTGATTAACTGCCCTGGAGCCATTATGATTCACGTGCTACAAGTCTTTTATTAATTTGTACAATGCAAAGTGAAACTGTGAAGTGACTTCATCACATGGAAGCAGCCTAGAAAGTCTTCCAGAACACTGGAGGAAATACCACAGAACTATCCATTTTTCAAGAGAGCATTTTAAACCTACACACAGCCTCATGAAAGCTCTTCCTGGTACAAGCATACTGTATCAGAAATTCATTACGTTGTCATAAATCCAGGTGAGGATTTGTTCCTACATAAAGTTTCACTGTTAGTTGCTGTACAAGTTTGCAAATTATCCATGTCGACAACAGCTGTGTTTTGATGTTTAGTGTATTTAGAGCAGTAATGAATAAAAAGGTTATAAAGCATGCAAAAAAAAAAAAGTTTTAATTCAAGAGCTTTACCTTTCTTCAGTGATGGAGCAGATGAAATGAATAAACTTGTCTATAAAGCCCCTCTATATCCTCAATATACTACTAGCTTGTCTTTTCTGTAATTAGCAAAACCACGTGGGACAGAATACTCCAGAATGCCTACACATAGTGAAGAAGCTTTTATGAACCTGATGTGGAGTGGAAAACTGAGCTGTAAAATACACTAAAATTAAAATGATTTTCCTTATAAGTTGAACGTGTGTCTCAGTGCCACGTCAACACAGGCCCATCTGTGTCAGAATGGAGAGTCAAATCCTGCTGACATAACTCAAACATGCATCTCACTGCATTCCCTTACAAAATTCCTTGCCAAATGTGCAGGCAGGTGTCTACATTGCTTCATGACAACTATGGTAAGCTGATGTAATGAGAGGTTAGATCAAGAGAAGCAGGCTTTACAAAACGGTCTTATATATACTTTCATTTTGTACAATAAAATTGTTTTATAGAATACAATGATAACTGTGTCTCCAGTTTTGGTTAGCTGGTTTTGTAGGAAAGTACGGTAGAAAAAGACATCGATAGCAGATAAATTTAGACCTTCAGTAAAGGTGGGGAAAACACTGCTAAAGAATTCCTCACACTTACTTTGTTGCAAAAGCTGCAGAAGTTGCAAAAGCAGACACTACACTGCTAACAAGTTGTACATTAATTAGATGTGGAAGGTGAAATTCTTCTGTACACAAAAGTGAGTCTTCACTGAAATGGTCTCCCAAAGTCATTGCAAACAACCACCCAGCTAGGAAGAGCTCCTTCAATAAATGAAAATTTGCTTTTTTCTGTTTTTCCACAAAACTCCAGCTTTTGTTTTCTTTTTTTTCCCCTCCCTCATTACTTTGGTGATAGTTTGTAAAATGGATAGTAGAAAACAAAGTGCTTTTGATTTACACAGGTAATAAAATCACACACCTTAAAGGAAGTAATTTCTTGAACCTCACAGCCCTGTATTAAGCAAAAAGCAGACAACTAAAACATAAAAGTAACTTATTTCTTTTTTCAATTATCATATCTGTTGCACAATTTATCATCAACGGTGAATTATCTTTACTGCAGATATAATCTCTCTGCATGTTCAGTAAGAAGAAGAAGATCTAAATGTCCCAGAATTCTCACTTATTGTGGGTGGAAATGGTAAAAAAAATTCCTCTACTGAAAGCTTATGTTCAAACTCAGGATTTTTCATTTACTGGGCTAGTATGTCTCCAGAGCTATCAGTCTGCATAGATAAGGCACACTTTGGACTCTTGTCCATGAGACACACTTACTCAAACACAGATGTAGCCAGCCCACTCTTTTACAACTTTTCTGGAATTAGCTGTTATATTTTGTCTCCCCCTTTATCTCTTATTTTCTTTAAGCCTCCTCATTCTTCCTCCTCACGGCTTTCCTTTGCTTTTTCTCCCACACAGAAACTTCCCTCACACAAACCGTGCACTCCTTTAACCAAATCTTCATGTAATAGCTTCCCACCATCACTGATGGGATTACTCTGTGTCTGCCGCAACACTCAAGGTGCTCTGAAGAATCAGACCAGCATCTTCAAAGAGGGACTAGAGAAGAAGCTTACTTTTCCGTTAACTTTACCCACCCCCCGCCTCTTTTTTAATGCCTTTAAATTCATAATAACCATTTGTGGAGCTTTGACTCCATCTTTATTGACTCTTGGAAATAAAGACAACGAACAAAAGACCTCCAGGAAGAATATTTTGTCCTCAGCATAAGAGCACTGAACTTTGGAGCCCATCCATATGTGAGAGCAACAGTTCTGGTATGGCTACCAGGTACAAGATATATATCTGTAGGGGTGGAAAAACACTTTTGCTATTATAAGCTCCAAATTCAGATTCTGTTGACATCTCTAAGCACACTCTAAAACAATCTGCTGCAACAGTGCAACTCTTTTTAAATCAGAAGAGCTGTTCAAACAAGGCTACAGTTCTTGACTGAGGGGAGTTTGGGGTATGCCCAAGGCACCATGAGAGTTGGGTATGTATATTTCTCTTTCTCTATATGTATATTATAGGGAGATTTGACATTCCTAGTTTCTGGGAAGAGTAAGAAACATTTAACCCTTCCATCCCACCTCCAACAATGACACACTCACCTTTGCATACAGAAAGGCTTCATCCACTGGAGATTTTCTGGCAAACATTGTCTCTATGAAAGCCTACCAAAAATAAATAAATAAATAAATAAATAAAAGGATCTTTCAGTTAGTAAAGGACCTGCTGTTACCTGCTGTCTTTTGGGGAGTGCCTAAAATCAGCTGTTTCCTTGAAAATAATGGAATAAATGGAGAAGAAAATAGCATGAGGAAGGAGAAGAGAAGTTGAGGAGACGGTATAAGGGGCACTGCTGTTCCTGAATAAACACAACTTTAAAACAAAGTCTAACACTTGCTGGCTCATCTTGGCTGACATTACATTAATTGAGAGAAGCTAGTGATACATGCTGTCTTCCTGTGTCTCCTTGTGATGTGGAGGGAGCTGAGCCCAGCCAAAAGCTGAGAAACAGCAGTTCAGTAACTAAGATCGGATCTTATCCTTCCAACCTAACTCACGCTATAACACCCTCTCCACTTTCTTGTTTAAAGGAATGCACTGGCTCTTTCTGAGAGTACACAACTGCGTACCTCTGATGTTACTCGTCCAGCTATTTTCATCCTTTCAATCTCTGCAGGAGATTTGATCAGCCGAAGGTTTTGCACTAGATGCCGAATGCCTTGGATGTGATTTTTGCTCCGAGCTTTTATCTCAGCCAGGGGCTGCATATAGTCACTGTGCAGTTCTTTATGCACTGGTTTAGTCACATCATACCACACCTTGTTTGACTCACCTGGAATACAAAACAAACGTTGATGCAGATGAAGATAAATTCAGAAATTCCCTCCTCATACTGTACAAAATCATCCTCCTAAGCTAAACCTGTTGCTGCACTGGTAATTTTCTCTGAATCTGTATTTACAGATCATATATTTACTGTCAGATAATTTAATCCCTTTAAAATCCAGAAAATTAGCAATGCATAACATGTATATTTGACAAATCCCCATTTGTATGCAAATATTGGGTTTTCTGATCATCACTGATCTTGCACAGATAAATGTAGCTCGTGTATCAAAGTTGTGGTGGCGTAGGCAAGCAAGTCACTGCACTGCAGTGGGACATGTTTTGAATCATTCTCTCATTTATCCACTGCATGGAATCAGGGTCATTATTGACCACGCTTCAGTATATCTTTGGTGAGCAACTGCTTATTTCGGCCATTTAGAGGAGACAAACTTACTGAGGACAAGTGTATTTACCTATGTAAAAATTTATTTAGAACATCAGAATTAGCACCTGTTTCCCCATAGGAACATTTTTAATGGGAACAAAGGTGAGAGAACTAACAAACTCCCTTGATGGATAATTTTTCAAGTCTATTATGAATAAATTCCTTCAAGTTTCCAGTGCTTCAGAGTGGTTCTGGCCTTATCAGCAAAAGAGATGTGCCTAAAACAGCAACACATGCTCTCTTGTTTATTCTGTTCCTTACTTTTCAGAGATATGTCCATCAGTGTTCACATGTGTACCCAAAAAAACTCAGGTTACATATGAGAGGCAGAACCTGTGAGTAGTAGTTCTGCATCACCTCAGTGGATTTCCAAAGAAAATATAATGGAAATCAAAGATGTCAGCTAACTAAAATTTTCTGTGAATAGGCCAAACACAGAATAATAGGCAGGAGCAGCAGAACTAGCCTCTTACTTGCACAGACCACCTCTCAATTTACAAGTACTGTAACTGAGATCACGTGGGACAGAAGGTGGGAATTCATGCTGGCTAGTTTTAGATGCCTAAATTAAGATTCTGCATCTTTTTTACAGTCATCCAAAAGGGATATATTACTTCTAATCAGAGTATGTTAAAGCACTTACACGACAACTTCCTTGCTTCCATCACCAATACAAGCTCACAGATTAGGTGTTTAAGAGAGGAGCCTATATCTGCTTAGTACAGTTTCTTCCCAAAACTATTACGATGTACTATTCAGACCCTACAACCCACGCCTCATCTCATCCCCCCTTCATTTTTGTTACCTTTCAGCTTGGCCACCAAGTGCCCGAACTCCTCAATAGTGTAAGCTTCATCTACTCCTGTCAGAGCGATGGCCCCATCTGTGCCTGACCTGGGCCCATCCCACAGCTCTCGGCTTGGATCTCTCCGGGGCACAAAAAGTATGGCCTTGTGAGAGGGCAGCGCTTTGCCAGGAAGGCTCTGCAGCACCAGGATGCTGTCAGGCTCCTGGAACCCACAGAGATACAGGAAGTTCGTGTCTTGGTGGAAAACGTAGGGGATGTCATTGCTCATGTAGTACACGGGGTTGGATAGCAGAATCACTGTGTGGTCCAATCCTTCCCAACCTTGGGCTTCCTTCTGGATCAATGTCATCAGTTTGTGCCGGCGAAGAGAATATTCCACCTGTGACAATCCTGGGGTTACCTCCCCTATGACCAAAAAAAATACAAGAATTCAAGTTCCTCATGATATTTTACTAATCACATGCCTGATTTCTGCTTGCTTCCTGATGCCTTTCATATGCATGGCTTCACTGCAGTCCCCGCTAGCCTTTCCATTGCTCTCTCCTACATCTTCTCAGCTCTCAGCCCTGCAGCACATCCTTGCTTACTCTGCTCCTCCACTGTGCAAAAGGGAGAAATTTGTTTTAAACACTTAGATTTTCTTGATATACATTTTTGTGCAAAGGCAGAAATCACAGAACCTGGTAGATCCAGACAATCAGCCAAAGCATTCAGTGAACAGAAGTTTGGTAGGAGTGATTTTCACAAAGATAAGGAAAAAAGAAGAAGGCAAGGCAAACTGAACTTTGCTGAACAGATGTTTTTTTTTTTATAGCATCTGGACATTGAACCAAAGATTACCTCCTTACCCTGAGCACTGATTTCCTCAGACAAAGCTAGAATGTCTGTTCAAATACACACTAAGTCATCTCATAAAGTAACTAGTCCTAAACTCTAAGGGGCAGACTGAAATTTAGATACAGGGAGAGAAGTCAGAAACACGGAGGTTCTCCTTACAGGATTCCAAGCAGAAGGAAACCATGACCCACAGGCTGGCATCACTCTGATTAAGAGAAGGAATATTTTCTGAGGAATATCTAGCTGCTCTCAATAATTAAAGACTTGGATTTTTCTGAAGCTAAATATTATATTTCAAATGACTCCAAACAAATGTTTCCTTTGATGAAAATCTGTTTCACAGTGTACCAGCCACAAAGGACAAGAAATGAAGCAATCAAGAGACTCACCAAAAGCGGACTGAAGTCGAAAGAACAACCAACAACTGTCTAAGTATATATTTTTAAGAACCTGAGATTCCTTAACTGTGCTATAGACTAAGACATAAACCTTTTCAGTGCTTTGGCTAATACCCTATTTTAACATAGGATTTAACATAGATTGCAATTTCATACTGCTAAATTATAATTTCATACACTTTCTTTTGACAATTATAGGAAAGAAAATCAAAATTTGACTTTTACTGTAAATGGATTCTCGCATGAATAGGGCAAGAGGGGGAGGCTCTATCCAACATGTTTGTCTCTGACAAAAAAAGAATTTAAAGAAGTGACACTTTCCATTTGCATTAAACTTTACAGCTCCATATTTGGGGTAGAAATTTTCTTACTTTGTTTTATCTATAGATATAGAATGACATAGAATACAGAAACTGTCTCAGTGCAATCTGATCCCGCATATTATACTGCATATTTCCTATGCTCCACTGCGTTCCTGTCAGCTAACTACTGCAAACAGTCCAGGGAACTGCAATAGAGTGGAACCCGGGAATCTCAGTTGCCTTCCAACCGTGAGGCCTGGAGTCCTCTTTGCTTTAAAGGCATTTTCTTTTAAAATTAATAACTGCAGCACAGCAACGTCATATTATTTCTGTAGAAAGGCTGAGAGCCCTGGGACTGTTCAGCTTGAGAAGACTGAGAGGGGATTTTATCAATGGGTGGGAGTCAAATGGATGGGGCGAGGCTCTTTCCAGGGGTGTGAAGCAATAGAACAAGGGGCAATGGGCACAAATTGGAATGCAGGAAGCTCCATACAAACGTGAGGAAGAAATTCTTTATCATGAGGGTGACACTGGAACAGACTGCCCAGAGAGGATATGGAGTCTCCTCTGGAGATATTCAAAACCCTCTTGTACTCTTTCCTGTGCAACTTACTCTAGGGAACCCACTTTAGCAGGGGAGTTGGACTTGATGATCTCCAGAGATCCCTTCCAGCTCCTAAGATTCTGTGGTTCCATGAAAGTAATTCCTCCTATTTTATTACGTTGGCCCACGACACCAGAGGTGAATGGTGGTGGTACAGCAGTAGAGGCTGAATCTTCTCACCAGTATTCTGTTACATTTTGTTGCTGTGCTACAGAGGCAGCAAAGGGGCATTCTGACAAAATGGTGTCTGTTATGGAAGAGCACATGAAGCAAAGGTGCGTCACTGAATTCCTCCATGAGGAAAAATAGCACACACTGACATTCTCTGATGCCTGTTGAACGCTGACGGAGAACAAAGAGTGGATGTGAGCACAGTGAGGTGGAGGTGGGTGGTGCATTTCAGCAATGGTGACAGTGACATGCAAGACAGGCCATGTTAGAGAAGGCTGTGCAGATTTTTTACAAGCACAGCATGCAGGCTCTTGTTCATTGCTGGTGAAATTACATCACTAATGGTAGTGACTCTGTTGAGAAATAGTGTTTAATTGAGAGAATTTGCTCCATCAAATAGCGTTATAGTGCCCTTCTTATCTGTTGCAGGGAAATAAATAGGAGGTGTTTCTTTCAGAGTACCTTAGGAGTGACCTACATGTTAAATTAATCTAATCATAAACAAATGAAACTGTGTACGATGCAACAGAACAATATGCTGTCCTAAGCAGCACAGAAAAGCAGAGAAAAGAAAGAATACCAGTGACTGGATCGTGCTGAGCATGAACCTAACCTGGTTTAAGTAGGTGTGGGTGTGTGAAGGGGCTGGGCTGGCCCAAATATCGGTTTGGAATCTTCTTCTGCTGGGCTGGCTGGATGGAGAATCTCCGGAGAACACATGACTTGCAGACTAGAGGAAAAGAAATGGATCATGTCAAAGGAAAAGAACTTTCCAATTAGAAAACTTTAGAATTATAATCAACTGACCTTACTCCTAGTAGCATTTACTTACCTCGTATCACAAAAATATCCCTATTTCACTTTCCAATATGTTATATAGTCAGACTGAAAGCAGTTTCTCAGAAGTACGGCTGCGTATCCCATTTCCAAACCCACATACAGCCAAGTAGGCAATTTTTAAAAGGAATTACATGTGTGCACTGGACTTGGGAGAGCTGTGGGAGCACACAGTAAGACAAAAGCTAAAATTAAACACAGTTGTTACAACTTTACCAACTTTGGATTTCTGTCACAGCTGACGGAGATGGCAATGAGCCTAATGGCTGATGTTCAGGGAATTGTTTGCCTTTTATTTTGCCACACCAGTTTGTGCTGCTGTGCCACAGCCCCGGATTCTGAGAACAGACGTAACCAACTCTTCATGAGCACAAGCAGGTCTGAAGTTGCCTCACACAGCAGCACCACTGAGAGCTGCTGAGGGAGCGGTCTGACACCACTGACTGGGGGTTACTTACACAGCACGATTGATAATCACAGCTTGAAGCACTCGCTGTGTGATGACTGACTGGAATAACAGCCCAGAGATCCAGGCCAGGAAGTACAGTTACAGACTGAACCGCAGAAAAATGAAAGTTTTTCCAGCATCTCCACCTACAGAGAGGACTACCAAGAATCTTGCCGCAGGACAACACAAGAGGCGTTAAATAAAGCAATACTGTGAAGGCATTAGGAAGGCTTTCCAAATTGTCGTTTTATTTCCTGAACAACGGTAGCTTCGGATCCAACCGCGCCTGTGACCCCACACTCCTCCCACCCACCGCAGTCGCCCAGCAAAAACGCGCGGCAGCCCCGGGGCTGGCAGGGCCCAGAAGCACCGAACCATTGCGGAGGAGTCTCTGACCTGCGAGGCCGCGCCAGCCCCTCACCGCCGCCAGCAGGCGCGACATGGCCGGGGGGGCCTTCCCCCAGCGCGGCGCCGCGCCGTGACCGCATCAGGCGGCGCCGCGCCGCCATCTTAGGCGCCCGCCGAAGCCGCCTGCGCGGAGCCCGGGGGGCGCCGCCGGCAGCCGCAAGGTTGAGGCGGCGAAAAAGGCGGGAGGGTGCGCTAAAACAGCGCGCGACCCCTCACAGCCCGCCTAACCGCCACCCCCGCTTCTAGAAAGTTCCGGGCCCCGCGCGGCGCGGGGGGGCGTGGCTTCGGGGGCGGTGGGCGTGGCTTTGAGGGTGGGGGGCGTGGCCAGCAAGAGGGCTGGCAGCTTCCGCGGCGCCGCGCGGCGGTTGGGTAGGGGAACGGTTGGGTGTTTAGAGCCGTCGTTCTCTGCTCCGCCACCATGGACTCGCGTAAGCTGAGCGAGCTGCGGGCCTTCGTCAGGCTGTGTAAGCAGAACCCGGGCCTGCTGCACACCGAGGAGCTGGGCTTCCTGCGCGAGTGGGTGGAGAGGTCGGTCATGGGCGACCGTGGGGAGTGGGGCTGCGGGGAGGGGGGGGGCGTGCCCGGCCATTAGCGGGAAGGGGGGGGCGGCACGTGGCGGCGCGAGGCCCCGCCGCGTGGCTGAGGAGGGGGGCGGAGGGGGCGCGCTGCGGTTGTCGCGGGTTCGAATCCCGCCGCGGGGCGCGTAGAGCCACCGACCCCTGCGTGCCTGAGGCTGGGGGGCGGTCTGGGTCCGTTTGTTAAACGGTAGCTGCGCACGGGGCCGGAGTCGTGCCTCTCGGGAGTCGTGCCTCTCGGCCATCTCGCGGCTTTCCGTGCGGAACTTTGCGTGTGCGTGTGAACCCAAACAGCGCTACAGCGTGCCACGCTGCTCCAATGAATGATATATTTCGGTTTCTGTGCAGCGATGCTTGAACTTTTTCACGCGTCTGGTGCAGTTGCGGGAACGTTCCTGCTTCTCTCTGCTTGGTTGTGCCGTGCCCGCAGCACACGTGCATAGGAAGGGAGCGCGCGGAGTGCTCGAACCTGCTGCTGCCCTCAGCCGCGCTGCTGGCGCTGGGACCTCGGCGCCTCGCCCTGGGTTACATCCAGCCCTCTGTTGTGCAATTCTGGATGTTTTGGGGCGGGGGAAGAGAACGCTGCTGCCTTTGGCCAAAAGAAGCGTTAGGGAATGGAGAAACGAGCTCCGATTTCTCATTTTTTCCACGTATTGCAGAGGGCTCTACCGTCCGAGATTTGTTTTCGCAGAGGCTCTTTCTGGTTGTGCTCGCGTATTTGAGCTAAATATTTGATGAAGTTGTACGCTTGGGAACGCGGGACGGTGGTCACGAAATTGCATTTCACGTCGCACTCTGGCAGTTTGGAGAGCTGCCCCCCTCCCTCCAGGATTGCAGGCTCTTATAGGGTCGCCCCGTTCTCTGCAAACGGCCTGAAGCTCATCGCAGCCTGGCTTCGGGTGGGAGCAAAACCGATGAGTCTTCTGTCTGTCAGTTTATCTGTGGTAACCTATAATTATATAGGTTAGTCACCGAGGTGATGTTGCAAGTGGCCACAGAATAACGATTAAATACTAATAAAATTCTGATTTATTTCTGTTTTTCTCAGACTCCGTAATTCTTGAAATAGCATATATGAAATTGTGGGTGATCTGTATGTGTTAAGTGCATCTCACAGAGTTCAGAGCTTGGCTGGGGCCTCTTTTGGGGTGTGAAGAAGGTAGAGGAGACTGAGTGCTTTTGGTCTTGAACAAGGTGTCAAGCTAAAATGAGCTGATCTTGAGCCCCGTAATTTGGAATTGTTCCAGAACCCAAAATCTTTTAGCTCAATCTGTTTTTAAATATATGACTGAAAGGTGGGAAGGTTATTGACCACCTTGAACTGGAAGCTTCAGTCTTCACCTAATAGATATAGCCAGTAAGCCAGGCTTTGAAGAAGTCTTACTGGTTTTGTCATTGTTTTATTTGGATCTGTTAGATGGATTTATTTTATTTGTGAGTATTGTTTCTGAAGCTGTAGTTTCTTATGGATGTGCAGCCAAGGATCACCCAGACGATCCCCGTGATGGCCGGTTCTTCTTGAACTGCTTGCTAAGAAAAGGTTATAGAATTGCATGCCTTACTGTCGGCCTGCAATGGTAAAATAAATAAGTAAATAAAAATAGGAGTGTAATTTTTGCCTAGCTCTCCAGTGATTTATCAGATTGCAGTTGTGCAGTTCTTGAAATACAATACAAATTAAGCAAGGACAATATACCAGAAGTGCGTGCACATTTTTGTAATAGCTTCCCAAGATGCTGTTTGTTTGTTTGTAACTTGTGATATTTTTTTTGTCTTGAGATCAGCCCTGATGTATGACCTGTCCATCCTCCCCTTCTCCTCTTTCTCCACAGATTGTGCCCCATCTGGGTTTTTCAGCCCTTTGGGGCTTGACTGTGAGCTGGTGGGTGCCAGGGGGAAGGAGAAGGAGAGAAAGGGAGGGCCCGACTTAAGAAGCTGTAGGATCTACAATGCTAAGATGTAATCTAGTTGTGCTGATTCCTCAGAGCAAAGTCCTGTGCCCTTCTGGGTTCTCCTGCATGTGTGCCCACTTCGTTCCTCATTGTGTCAAACCAGTTGTGTGGTTCTTCATTGAGCTGGTTGAGTCCATTGAGTTGCTGGATACAAACGTAGTTGTTTTTTTCCTTTTGGAATATCCATAGCCAAAGCAATCAAGAACTGTCCAAAGAAAAATGGAGAGCAGAGAGGATGGGTGGAAAAGTAGTCCTTGCAGCAGCCTGCCAGTTGATATGATTAGATGTTATATGAAACAGCTGGAGAATTCCACCTGTGCTTATTTCTGGCTGCTAAACCAAGTCAATGTAATATAGAAGCTTATTCTATATTGAGGGAATGCTGTCTATATAGAGAATGTTATTTAATGGATAGTGAGAGGAAGTCACGGGTGTTGAAATGCGTAAAAGAAATGAAATGGTTTTCTTGGCAGCATTTCTTAAAAATTATATAAGCATATAATGAGAAAAATATCATGGTAACAGGTATTTTTTAGTTCTCTTAAATGTTTTGATCTGTTTCAAAAATAATTATAGTTTTAATGGGAACTATAATAAGAACACCTTGTTGTGAATTGGAAAAAAAAAAACAACACTTGCATTTTCAGGAAAAAAAGAGAGTTTCAGCCAAAAGGCAGCTTTCCTTTGTGAGAAAGGGTGGGTGGGTGGTATGTGATACACATGAGTACAGATCACAGTGGAGACCTAATGTGCATTGCACTGCATCAAGGAAAATATGGTTTGTGTGTACTTTTTAATTGCTTTTACAGTGAATTGGATTGTTGTATTTTTTGTCATAACAGAGGGCTGAGATTATCAGCAGGACTTGAGTCAATAAAATAGTTGGCATTGTTTTGTTAATCTTATTGTTTTTTCTCTTCCCTAATTTGCTGAAAAGCATGGGAGGCACGATACCACCTGCTCCAGCCAGTACTTCCACAGATGAGACAAGTAAGGTGAGATGTGAAGAGATTTTAATTACACGATAATGTTTGGACACTGCAAAAATAATTGGGCAGGAAGAGAGAAACAAAAATTGCTGCTAAGTTTTACCCAGACAGTGTGGGTGAATGCACTGGGGTGAATAATTTTGGGAGGTAAGACTGAAGTCTGCTCCACTGCATCTTGTGGCTGACGGTTTGTTACAGATGGCTTTCTGGTTTGTTTCAGTTGTTATCATGCTCCATTTCCTTAATCATGAATGCCTGATGTTCTCAACAGTGCAAATGGCATACAAAGTCTTGATTGCTCCTTTTTATGCAGTCATTATCAGTTTATAAACCTCTTATGTAGCCATTGCTGGCTCAAATTATAACTTTACGTGACAAGAAGTACTTGCAAGTATGATAGGTGGTAAAGAGTTGAACTGTCAACTTTTTAAGACAGCATTGTGGAAAAGCTTTTTGGTTATTATTATTTTTTTCAGGAGAGAGAATAAATTTGGCTTTTAGATATTCATAGGAGAATTTTCTCAAGCTTGAAATTATTTTTGGAAAAAGCAGAATGCTTATTTTAGGTTTAGCAGGATAGTTACTGGTTGATAAGAACTGAACTCTGTTGGGGGGTTGTTTATGTGCAGTGAGTATAGTTTGTGGTCCTGAATATATAGACACAGCTTCTGTCTGTCATGAAGGAGGATGTGCTGTGTGGTGGGATGCAGAGGAACGAACTCAAATAGTTAGAAGCTGATAGGAAAATGTTTGAAAGAATATTCTACGTGTGTGTAAATAGCAAATATCTCTTGACAAATAAGAAAACAAATTTGAATCACTGATGCTAGCTTTGTGTTCCCTGTAGAGGACCTTAGCTTAAAAGTATTAGATTGAGATAATTTTCATCTAGAGGATGCGTCAGGGAGGGCTGGAAGATTGCAAGAGCTAGTTAGTATTCATTGCAAGACTGATTCTGAATTGGGTATTATTTGAATCGTTTTGTTTTGATTATTGAATTATATAGTTTGAAAGACTGGCTTTACTAATAATAGAAGTTCATGAGTCAAGATCTGGGCTTTGAATTATTTGCATGCATGACAGACTTAATCTCAGAGGAGGAAAGAAGGAGATCTGTATCTTGAAAATAACTGTTTAGCCTTAGAGCAGTCATGTTCTTTGAAGATTGGTTCTGGATTTTTCAATGTCCTGCTGTATATTAGAGTGGCAGTAGAATCTCAGTCAGAAATACACACTTACAAATGTGCTTCTTTTTCAGGGTAAAGCAGAAGAACAGCCAGAGGAACCAGTTAAATCTCCTGAGCCAGAAAGTGAAGAGAGTGACTTAGGTGTGAAAGACAGATGACGTTATCGTGGTTAGAACATGATTCTGGAAATCTCAGTAAATGTAGTCTAAATTTGCTTTTTATTTTTCCCCCAGAAATTGACAATGAGGGAGTGATTGAACCTGATAATGATGACCCTCAAGAAATGGGAGACGAAAATGTGGAGGTAAGCACAAATCCTTCAGTGGCTGTGGCAGCAGGAAAGAAGGAGAGAGGTTTTGAGTTTAGTCAAGAATAACAATCAAGGTGGGGAAATTAGTACTACCTATTAGCACTAATGGGTATCCAGCTGCTACTTTGAGTCTTCTAGTTAAAATCATGGTGACTAATATCTCCAAGATGGAAGCAAAAAAATAACTTTTTTTTTATACTATGATTTAAATCTAAATTAAACTTTGGGAGTCAGAAAGGTGCAGCTTCCTTTGGTGCCATCTCAGCGTGATACTTCCAGCCTGAACCTTTTTTGGATTTGGTCTGCGTGTTCCATTCTGTTTGCTTATTTTCTTAGGTAACTGAAGAGATGATGGATCAAGCTAATGAGAAGAAGATGGAAGCTATCAATGCCTTAAGTGAAGGTGATACATTGTTCGCTTGTTTTCTAGTACATATGAAGGGACGTAATGTTTGGTGCTCCTTTTAAATACAACAAAAAGAAACAAACCTTAATAAAGTATCTTGGACCTTTGTGGGCACCTCCAAGAGGCAGAAAGCTTACTTCATATTAGATATCCAAAACTATCTAGAACATGAAAGCTTTTTTAAGTATAGTCTTCCCCGTGTGGCTGTAATTTGGGGGAAGTATTGCAGCACCTTAATAATACATCAACTGCTACAGTAGTACCCTATGTATTATTAATGTCTCTAGTGGTTTGTCTTAATGCAGTGGAAAGCTGCATAATAAAGAGGTGACTTCCTATGTGATTGCATATGAAGTCAAACGTACAAACTCTGAAAGGACACCCTCTCCTCATGGTTCCAGAATTCATTTTGAAGTTTGTTCTTCAGTAATGTGGCAAGGATGAAAAATTGATTTTCCTTTGATAATGTTCCATTCAAGATGTAGCTAGGGGAATAGCACCATATAAGGTATGTTTGGCAAGCTGGGTGTAGTCGCTGCATAATGATGGAAACTACTGGTGCTCTTTTTCAGGTGAACTTCAGAAGGCTGTCGATTTGTTCACAGATGCTATCAAGCTGAATCCTTGTTTGGCTATCTTGTATGCTAAGAGAGCAAGGTGAGTCATGATAAACTAGTCATGTACGTTTCTGTCCCAAACTTAAATCAAGTCTTTGTTTGATTTATGTATGGCTGTTGCTTTTTGTATTATTTTTTTTATCTATTCGGTAGGGGCTAATGAAACAAACTATACATTGTATACTCTGCGTAATTAAAGTATTGTAGTAAATACAGCAAGTTAGTGAGTTAATTATTCAGAATCCAAAGGCTGTGGTTCTCCACGCACTGTTTTTTTTACTATTTGTATTAACAGCTTGTGTCCTGGCAGCACCTGTTTCTGATCTATTATTGAGTAGCCTTCTGAAGGATGGTCCAAGTCTTAACACTCAGAGCACTTATAGCGGGTCAGTCCAACAGCACACCTCATCCAACCTTCTGTTGTTGGCAGTAGTTAGCGGTCGCAGGTGCCTGTAGAACAGAATATGATCAAGGCAAGTGGGGTGATACTCCTGCAGTTTTTTCAGCCTTTGGTTCATCTCATCTCATAGGATTGTTTGAAGCAATACCTTTATGTTTAATAGCTCCTGATGGCTTTTTCTTGTCTTGCTGTGATGATGTCAGTCTCCTCTTGAAAAACAAATTAGTGTTTGCAGTGTTCTCTGGCAAGGAGTTTGAAAGCTTAACTAAATTAATTATGTGATTCTTTGTTTCTTGCCTTGAATTTGTTGTTTCGTTTGCTTCCTACTGATGTGTAAAGGAACTAGGACTCTTTAAAGGTTTCTTGTTCTTGGTCTCCCTACTCCCTCCGATTTTTTTATAGACTGAAGTTGTGGAGTGCGTGTTTTGTTTGTTTTTGGAATTATTTTCTGTTGCAGGCTATAAGGTCCAAATCTCCTTCCTTGTACGGAAGGAAGCAGCTCTGTTCTTAAGATGCTGCTGCTGTTCTTGGAATTTTTTTCAGTTCTATTACAGCCGCCTTTGAGATGGAAGAAACAGACCAAAATTTCACAAAGTATTCAAGTTGAGGTCCATTGTAGGTTTAGACAGTGATGTGATTGTTATATTTTGATTACAGTCTTTGATTTTATGTTTTTTGACATCTCTGCATTGAGAAGCTTAAGAAACTGTCCATGAGATATTGAAATCAGTGTAGAGTGCTGTATTAGTTGAAGAACTGCCTTTCATGGGAGGGCATGAAAATGTTTGAACCAAAACTCTGCATACAGCATCAGAAGAGTTCAGGGAGCAGCTCAGAATGAGATTTGATTTTGAAGTTGGTCAGGCTAAATGATGAAACAGTTGCTCGTTTTGTGTAGCAATATAAAGCGGATGTGCTATGGTAGTTCCTTATTATTCTAATAATTGATCTGTACACCCAGTATGATGATTAGCTCTTTATCTTACTGTTATTTTAAAGACTATGGAGTGTATAATGCTGCTAGCTTTGTTTTGTTCTACTTGTTAGTTGCTATCGTCTATGAATGGTAAGCAACATGAAATTGAACTGCGCTTTGCATTTCTTTTTCACATGCATTAAAGTTGTTCTTGCTGGCAAGGCTCAACTCTGCATACTGAATGCTCACACTTTTTGCTAATGATTCACATACCACTGTGGGGGGAAAACTAAATTTCAGTGGCTGTTAGCACTACAAAATCTTTTTGAATGTAGCTTTTCAACAGTATCTCATTAGCCTGCCTGTTAGTCATCCAAAATTATTTCCAGCTTAAGTTAGTAACTTGGTATTTCAATACATACAATAAATGTTCTTATTCCCACAGTGTTTTTGTGAAACTACAGAAGCCAAATGCTGCCATTCGAGATTGCGACAGAGCCATCAAGATTAATCCTGACTCAGCACAGACTTATAAATGGAGGGGGAAAGCGCATAGGTAATGAACTGCAACTGTTCTCAATGTTCTCTTTACTTGGAGAGGAACGGTTTTGTTTGTGCTTTTTCTTTCTCTGTTTCTCTGTGAATTGTCAATTTTGTATGCAAAAGAAGTAGTCGTGTGAGCCAAGAGTCCAATATCTTAAGTGTATATCTTAAAAGAAAGAAAAGATGGTAGTGATTTATTGATGGTGACTTAAGAATAATCTTGGCAGTCTTTTTCTTTTTTTTTTTTCCTTCCTTTAATAAGCCATCTTCTAATGACTTACTGTCATTTGGAAGATCGTTTTCTAATCATTTGCTAAAGATTAGGAGCTCTGGCAGTGTGGGTTTTATTTGTGGCATGGAGCCTAACTGAGAAGGCTGGAGCGTGGTTTGGATTAATGTCTGTGTCTGCAAGATGAAGCACTGTGACCCCTTAGGAATGGCAGCATTCACTTAAGTCTTTGATTATCACAAGTTTATCTAAATGAATAAGAAGTAGTGCTGCACAGTAGTTTTATAACTGTTTGGTTAAGACATGGTGCACTCTGGTAGGATGTTTAAATGCTGAGTGAATGTGCACTTATGCTTGATTTGGTAGTAGTGTAGACTTGTACAGAACACTGAATGTGTAGCTTCACGGTAAGCATCTGCCTGGTTTTGCTGAGTGTTTATTAGTGTGCTTTACGTGTTTGGGTAGAGCACCTTCTCCCTGAGAGACCATTCTTGGTCATAGCAAAGAATGACATGAGCCCATTTAGTTTTTCTTCCTGATTTTTACATCACATGAGAGTTAAAGATATGAAGCAAGCAAGCGTGCTCTAATCGCATCACAGTGCACTTATTACAGAAAACACAATGATTATTAAACTTGGAACTATGTGGATAGCTGTGGAAAAGGTTACTGAATGCTACGTGGTTATAAGTACACAAAACAACTGCTAACAGTTTGCTTTTTGGCTTCTGAATGCTGTCTTCTGAATTCCAGACTTCTGGGTCACTGGGAGGAGGCTGCTCGTGATCTTGCTCTAGCCTGTAAACTGGATTATGATGAAGATGCTAGTGCCATGCTGAAGGAGGTGCAGCCAAGGGTAAGTGGGAAGGTGATAATGGAGGTCCCTCTTTTTGTCTTGAGATTCTTGTGATATGCATCGTGCTATGGGGATGTTTGTGTGTCAACATCAGTGTTCATCTGACACTTCAAACTGAGTTTAGAAATGATCCTACCTTCAGTCACTGCTGTTTTGACTGCATGGAAATTAGGTCTCTGGAACTGAGCATATAACTAAACAATGAAATATTCCTTTTTAAAACCTGAACAGAAAAAAGTGGTGTAGTTGAAGTTATCCAGGCATTGTTATCACCGTGGTGGTGGTTTTTGTTTTTATTTTTGCTGTTCTGGATTTTTTTCTTTTCCCCAAAATGTTTCCAAACTAATCAAAGCTTCATCCTATATGTTTTACAAAGTGTTCTTGACTGTGAGAAGTACTTTCATTTGTCTACCCCATGAGGGCAGCATAATTTCTTTGAGACTCATGTTCAGGTCTTCCTAAGTGGTTGGTTCCAACACCATTCTAATAAAGTGCTTGTGTTACAACTGTAAGAACATTGATTGTAGGCTTTCTTTCTCTTCTCTTTTACATGTTCCTTTGAAGCGATTCTTAGATCACAGGTTGCAACTGTTACATTGTGCTGAGTTTACATTGCAAGGTCTGGAGGAGGGTGGGGATGGGAGTTTATTCCTCTGGTTTGCAGAGCCAGTTCCAGCCAGCTCCAAAAATGAACCCACTCCTTGCCAAAGCTGCGTCCGTTGCAGCTCTATGATGATGTATGTAAGAAAGGGTAAAACATGCTGTGCAACAGCTGTGAGAAGGAAAGAAGTGAGGAAGGAGGGAGAAGTGAGCAGCTGCATAGACACCAAGATCAGTGAAGGAGGAAGGTGCTCCAGGTGCTGGTGCAGGGATGTCTTTGCAGCTTGTGGTAAAGCAGGTTGTCATCCTGGAGCCCATGGAGAACCCCATGTGCTGTGAGGGAAGCTGCAGTCTTTGAAAGGCCCCATGCTGGAGCAGGCTCCTAGGAGAAACTACAGCCTGTGGCAGACCCAAGCTGGAGTGGTCTGCTCCTGAAGGAACGTACCTGCATGGAAACCTGTGTTGGAGCAGTTCACGAAGGACTGTGTACCACTGGAACAGAAGAAATGTGTGAGAGAAGGAGGGAGCAGCAGAAAGGAGCTGTTACAAGCAGGCCACAAGCCCTTTTCCCAGTTCCAGCTATGCCACTTGGAGGGAAGTAGAAGAGTTAGGAATGAAAGGTTGAAGTTGAGACTGGGAAGGAGGATGGGTAGGGGAAGGTGTCTTTCGTTTTGTCATTGCTTCTCATCATTTTACTCTAATTGGCAGCAAGTTGAATTAATCTTTCTCCAGCTGACTCTGTCTTGCCAGTGACAGTCACTGGTAAAGCATTTCCCTGTTGTTGTCTTGACTCGTGAGATTTTTTCATTGTTTCTTTTCTCCTATTGTGGAGAGAGAACAAGAGAGAGGCTCAGTGGGCATCTGGCAGTCAGCTGAGGTTAACCTGCCAAATACATAAACATTCCCATAGCAAATAGCTCAAGTTTTCAGTCTTCCTGTATTGCCTTTGCAGAAAATGCTCTCACCAGCAAAACACCAACTGAAACCATCTTGCAAGCAATTAGTCTTCTGTGTCAGAAGCTATTGATCTGTAGCACATCTGCTAGGTCTTATATCTTGACCTTTTTTTAATAAGAGGTATACTTAATGATTGGCTGAGAGGGAATGTGCACAGAAAAAGCAGAGTATGCCTATGATGTGTTGAGACTTACTTGCTAGAGGTGTGCCAGTTTGTGTACGTAGCTTGAGGAAAAAAATGTGTGATCTTTCCGTAAAGCGAAAGTGCTGGTCTCTTCCAGCTGAACTGTTCTATTTGCTGATTTGTTCACTCCCATCTTTTGTGGTACTTCATAATTAAGTAGCACTTCTAGTTTGAGTTGCATTCTGAGAATGTTTAACTTACCCTGAAAAATGCTTAAAAACCACGAAAGTTAAAACTTTAGAAACTCTTGTTAAAAAATGTAATGGAGTTATTTCATAGCTATAACATCAGATTATATTATATTGATATTATTATGGCATATACTGCTTTTGGTGTCAGTCCTGCTGCCTGCAGTGTGCATTCTCTGCCAGATGTACTTTGAGAAATAAATGGTAGGAAATCTATATCTAATGGTTAAAATAACTTGTATCAAAAGTCAACGACTTACAAATCATTTATTCTTTTACAGAGTATTTTGAGAGAATAGAAGAGTATGCATATGTAAGAAGGGCTTCCAGCTGTAGTTTGTTCTAGTTCAGTACTTCTATTCCTCAACTTTGGCTTATTGATTTTACTTTTTTTAATTGCTAATGTAAGAGAATGTTACAGAGTACCTTTGATATATGGTATTGTCCTTCAAAGCTCTGCAAATTGTGACATGAGCTATGTTTTGAAAGAAAGATGCGTTCTGCTTTTAGGAATGGTGCTGCAGTTAGTGTTCTGTTATTAAGATGAGTCTGGAGCGAGGAGCCTTAGAGTTCATTGTTAATGAGTCTCCTTCTCTGGAGCTGGGGTGTTGTTACCTTTGAGAAGAAGACAGGAAACAAACTTGCTCCCACCTGCCCTCCTTTGCTTTGGTTGAGATATTCTTTGACCTGCTTAAGACTAACTGTGAATGCTGCACCTGGAACAGCAATAGCATCATCTAACTAATGTGTCTGCAGGGGGAATTACGCTTCCTGTTATTGTGCCAGTGAAAATTCTGTTCTCTAGGGGCAATTGCTGGTGTTAGCCTTGTAGAAATTAATATTTCAGCACAAAAGCAGGAAGGAACGTGGAACTATTAAATGTTAAAGTTCTAACTATGGTGTAGGTCCCAGAGCTTTACAGGAAAAAACAGACTAGAGTGGAGTGTGTGGTCTGGTGAATCCAGCGAGGGCGTAATACGTGCAAATAACTGATTGTGGTAGAGGGGAGGTAGCATTTCTGGGATGTGAAGTCAAACCTGATTTTTAAGAACTGGTGAAAACAGATTATTACAACAATTGCATGTATTTTATATTGAAATACGTAGTTGTGTGGTATACTAGGAAGTAGCTGAAGTCTTGTAATTGTATTGTAACAGGCTCAGAAAATTGCAGAACATCGCCGAAAGTATGAACGGAAACGTGAAGAAAAGGAGATCAAGGAGAGAATGGAAAGAGTGAAGAAGGCACGAGAGGAGCATGAGAGAGCGCAAAGGGTGAATACTTAGGCTTTAATATTGCTTAACAGTTTTGGAGAGTGGTGTAGTTATTTTGTTTTCAATGAGTTGCATGGGAGAATTGTTTCCACTTTAAATCTTAAATCTTAGGGAGTTACTTTATTTTTTTGGTTACTCGACCAATGATGGAATCTGGAGAAGAGGGCCTTTTGCTGCATCTGTATCTGTTGCTTATGGCAGAGAGAGGCTCTGGAATCTCTAGGAATCTGTATTTCAGGAATTCAGTTACTATATGACTGTGCTAGAATATTATTCACTTAGTATTTATTTCCAAAACTGGGAGATTTTAACTTCAAAATAATCCTTTGTGTCATCTCTACACTTCTAACTACAGTTCCCTTTCTTTTTTTTTCCTATTCTACCACTGTATTTTTACAGCACGTGTTAGGGGTGGGAATTGGTTCTAAAAGTTAAGCTAATGGGCCAAAACTGATCATATAGTTCATGGTCAGTAAAAGTTCACTCCGTGTAACTTAACTGCAACAACATATGAAAATAAGAGGAGCTGTTGCTGTTTCTTGTCTGTGGCTTTGTGTATTGTGAAGTGCTTTATTTGATAATTCCTTTAGCCTCCAAGTATTAAACAGTCCCAGCTATTTTTTTTTCCTCCTAGAACCTTTTGAGCAGTAGAAAGCAGGCTGCAATTCCATAACTTTGTTTGAAATTATATGCTTTCTTCTACAGGAGGAAGAAGCAAGACGACAAGCAGGAGGAGCTCAATTTGGTGGTTTCCCAGGTGGCTTCCCGGGTACGTATTCTTAAGCACCAATACTTGTTACTTGAAGTGACTGGTTGGTTGTTTTTCTTTTCCCATATACAGTATTATAACCACAGTTTAGATAGCATTTATTCTCAAGATGGGGAGAGGAAAAATGTTTTATGAAGTTTAAAACTTGTCTATAAATAAATAACTGAGCATTAATTAGTGGGGGGACAGATGAGATTCTTAATTGCATTGTTTCTAGGTAACAAGTAGAGGGAAGACCAATCAGTAATAATGATTAATGGAGTGAAAGGATTTAGGCATGAGAAAAGAAACGTGCAACATTTGCTTAGAAAACATAGTATAAAGTGTTTTCTGAATTACTCAGGGTGGCTTGGACCCATCCTGCTTAAGAACAGTAGTTGTAACGCTGAAAATTAAGTTGAATGTTAGCTCCCAAACATTACAGTTTTCCCTGTAGTTTAACAGAACAGTTTCTCAATGGAAATATTGCAATTTTTGAACAGTTCTGTGAAGATCAGTCTTTCTGTGTCATTTTTGGGTGCAGTCAGTTGCAGAGAAGCAGTAGTGAGTGCTTGAAGATCAAATTGTAGTTGCGGTGGGTTGAATGCGTGCTTCAAATACATCAGCTTGTCAAGGGAGGCAAATAGCAACCATATCTGCCTCAGGATTTTTTTCAGTTATGATTTTGACTTTTTTTTTCCCCTCCAAATGTAAAGTTCTTACCCCACATTGAATGAGCTTGGGACATACTGCTACTGAGCCGATTCTGGCCTCATTTGCTCATCTCTTGCTTTCAAAAGTCTGAATTTCTTGACTTGATATGTACATCAAGTTAACTAGAAAATAACTGTATTTGTAAACAAAGTGCTAGACCCTAACTAGGTCCTCCTATTTGATTGGGTTAAAAACGCTGTAAACAAATTGCAGGTTTTCACAGAGCCCCTGCTTTCCGTTCTTTGAAACAGCTCTTTGCTTTGTGGAAGGCATAAAATTCGGGGTGTATGAGTGGAAAGATGTTTGTTTTCTGTGTCAGTGAGCTCCTATACAGATGAATTAAATGTTCTTCATCACGCATTCCCGTGTCTTGGGCTTTGCAGGTGGATTTCCTGGGGCTATGCCTGGAGGTATGCCAGGTCTCAATGAGATTCTCAGTGATCCAGAAGTCCTTGCGGCCATGCAGGTGAGTATTTGATTAGAACCAAAGCTAAATGCTCACAATGAGGGAGGAACAGCTTAGGGGAACCAAGGGAAGAGAAAAAGATGTGACCCACTGAATTGCTTGCTTCTGTTGCGAAGTTTTCTCCTTGTGTGTGTGCGTAGTTGTTCCAGACTGTCTGGAATCTATTTTTTCAAACAGACAGTGACTTAATTAAAGGTGTTGTATTGTGTCCTCTTTTTTCTTACCCTACACATCCTTCCCCCTGCCCCAGCCTTATGTTTGCATATAATCAACAGAACCATATACTGGATAGAGTTTTAAGCCTTTTTTTTTTTTTGAGTCTCTGGTTATTTTCTGTACAGTGTGATTCATTTCCTCCTTTTTTATGAATGCATCCACACTGTGGTGAGGGGTAATTATGCACAAATGAAAAATTATTGTTAATATTGTTGCAACACAATATATTGCAATAATGTTGAGAATTGCCTTTCTCCTCAGGGAATGAGGAGGCAAAATAGTATCAGAATAGTTCCACATCTGGTATTTTCTAAATTTATGTTCAGGAAGCCTACTTGATTAACTACTCAATTGCTCAGTTGCTTAGGTCATTGAACAGCTGTGATTGGCATCTAAATAAATAAAAGCATTGCATGGGACTGTCGTTTGATATGCCCTGAAATCATGAAAAAGGCATGGCTTCTCATGCAAAAATTCATGAGTTCCCTTAGTAATTGCTGGTTTATGGAAGCACACCTTTACTTATGCTGCCACAAACAGCTATGTCATCTTACATCAAACTGTCCAAAACAAACAACAACAACAGAAAACCCACGACTTGCAATTGCATTCATTACTGGCTCATTTATGCTGTAATACAGGACTTTTGAAATTGGAGTTGTTGAAAACAGCTCTGAAGTGCATTTAAATGTTGAATGCTTAATACGAGCCTTTAAAAAGGCTCCATTGCATGCTGATTATATATACTCCAAAATGTTATAGTATTCTGTTGCAAGAACACAGATTGTGTTTTCTTTACAGTCTGTTAGCAAAGCTTCAAGATGCTCATTGATCTCTTTTGCACAGTATTTAAATCTACGTAAGATTTAAATATATGCACTACCTACTCCCTACTAAAATATCTGACTACAGTCTTATATCCTTCCTGAATCAGCAGCACAAGCTATAGTCTTAAAAGAGTAGTTTTTACTGCTTGACTTGCTTCTGCTCACTGCAGCTATGGAATATGTTGAAGGATGATGGAAGTTGATAGCTGTTACTGAGGCTAGCAATGAGGTTGCAGAAAAGTCTGAAGATGCTGATTCACACAAGTCTCCCAAATCATTAATATCAAAGTGTTATTTTAACTGAGATGTGTAGAGTCTTTTCATAGCAAGGAGTCACTCCTGAAACTGGAGTTTTCTGAGGGTGAAGACCTTCCCAATCTCTTCTGGATTAGTGTCTATTAACATCTTTGTGACAGCTCTCCTTGAGCTTACATCAGTATATGCTTCTTGTAGTTCTTTTCAAGGCTTCTTAACTGAACCAGGTGTGATTTTTTTTTTTTTGCAGTGAGTTCTAGTGTATGTAGCTTGCTCTGAAATAATGCCTCCTACTTAGTTCCATGGAAACTACAACAGACACAAAGAGCACAGTAACACTGCTTGATAGTGCAAATTACAAGTAGTTATAAAACACTATTTTTCAACACAGTTAACACCATTAACTATGCTTTTACTTCACTGATAAGCAAGAGCCTGCATGCCACACTTGTAAAAATCTGCATGACTGGCTGGAATGTGGCTTGTCTTTCACATCACTGTTACCACTGCTGAAATGCACCACCCAAGATTCACTGTGCTCGCATCCACTCTTTGGTCTCCATAATTGTTCAGCAAGCATCAGTAACTTTACGGTTGCCTTTTTTTCCACATGGAGGAATTCAGTGAGATGTCTTTGCTTCATTTGTACTTCCATGTCAGACACCATTTGGTCAGAATGCCCCTTTGCTGCCCTCTGTCACATGGCAGCAAAATGTGTGATGGAATTTTGGTGGGAAGGTTCAGGTTCTACTGCCATACCACCACCTTCTGCCTCTGACATTCTGGGCCCACATAATAAAGTAGGAAGCGTTGCTTTCAGAGCAGCTCTTAGGCAAGTGAAATGAAAATAATGCACAAGCTTTATAGGCACCAGAAGAAGTAACTGAAATTGGTAACTTGGGGTGGGACATCTGGGGAATGTTTTGCTTATTTTTACCATTTTGGCTGTCAGGAGGGTGTTGTAGTATTTCAGATCTCCTATGCACAACTTCTAAACACAAATGTCATGTTGTATACAGTGAAACACAAGTAGTCGTGGTCAGATATAAATTATTTTTTAAAAAGAATAATGTGTAAAGTGCTTCTAAGGATTGCTTACTTGCCATATGTTGAACGCAGACTTGTGTCCGAATGTGTAACATAGAAAAAAAAGAATATTGGTGTTTTCCATTCATAGCGTTACTCATTCTTCTGCAGCTGAAGACAGGACTGTTAGAAAACTGAATGTTTCACTAATGCCATTTATACTGTCATTTCCCTTCCAACTTTCATGCTAAGTAATTCCATATGAAACTGTTGACATTTAAGTAACCAGCTTTAGTAGTATTGCTCATCACTGTGAAGCCTTGTATGTGTATCAGACTTAAACATCTTTATAAGCACTGTCAAGTGTATGCAGGCTTTTGGGGAGTCGCACAACAGCAGAATAACTGTGAATTCATAATTCATAGAACACCTAGTGTGAAATTGAACACTTATTGCTTATTTAGTTGTGCTTTAATAAGATCCAGTGACTAAACTGATTTATTTTCATGCTCAGGATTCATTTACACATGTGACAACGCTGATAGAACAATGCAGCATGCTCTTCATAGTCTTATATGCTATTCTGAAATTGGAAATTGAGGAAGTTTGAGTTTGTGCAAGTCATCTTCCTGTTTTTATAGGAATCCTGCAAAGTGGAGGAAATATATCCAGAGCCTTTTCTTCTGAATCTTACCATCTTATAGAATTGGCAGATTCCCTTTTGTAGGGGAGATAACACTCATAATTCTTCTGTGAGAAAGATAAGACTTGACTCTTTCAGGTCTCAGAGTGTGTAAAACATGCCTTAACCATGTGCTTGGTTTCATTGGAGTACACACCTGCCAGAGGCAATTTGGGATCAGACTTGTTTAACAGCTGTAGTTTGTGTCTGGGGCTAGAATAGATACATGATGAGTGTTACTGTTGCACAGAACATCTTCTGAGGACACTAGTTGTTTTTTGATGGTTGTCAAGCAATATGTCTGAGGTAGCAATAGAGTAGAAGTCCAGGGAAAATTGTATCCCTTGATGGAACTACCTGAATGCTAGGTTGAACAGAAAGTAAATTTATAACTTCATACTGGACGTAACAAACAGCCTTCGTTTTTTTTTCTGGATTAAAGAAAACTTGAATTTTTCATGCAGAAGTTGCTTATAATGGAAGCATTTTCTAGATTAAGAGGCAAAATTGACCTGTAAAGAACATCATATAAAACATGCTTATGTGAAATAAGTAAAAGCAATTCTACATGGGTCACTCTGAAAGTAACGCCTCCTATTTATTTCAATGGAAACCACAGTAGATGCAGAGCAGACAATAACACTGCTGAAACACCACTCACCACCTCACTGTGCTTAACATCAATCTCCATAAACCTTCAGCAAGTTTCAGTGAATGTCAACAGATGCCTTTTTTTTTTTGAATGGAGAAATTCAGTGACGCACCTTTGCTTCATGAGCACTTCCATTTTGTCAGCCTTCCCCTCTGCTGCCATCTGTCACGCGGCGGCAACACATAATGGAGTGTTGGTGACAGAGTTCTGCTTCTACTGTCATGTCACCACCATCTGCCTCTGATGTCATGGGCTGACATAATAAAGTAGGAGGCATTACTTTTGGAGCAGTTGTTATGGTTCAGTAAAGGCCAAAATAATGCTAGCAATACAGGAAAAAGTGTTTAGTTTTGAATACTAAATAGGGAAGATGATCTGTATTCTTTTGACCAGCGTCTTTAATGTATATGTGAATGCATTTATTAACTATGACACAAAAGTGCCACGAGAGAAGATTCTCTTCCACTTGTGATTTCCCAGAGGAAGTGGGGAATACCTGAGAATCAGATGTATTTTCAGAAGCCAGGTGCTGCTGCATCATCTGTTTGTAGTCTAGCAGATTAGAGTTTCTGCTGCCAGAAGGAAATTGGGTGAAAGGGATGTGTATCAGCTATTGTGTGGAGGGGAGTTATTCTGCCATGATTGGTATGCATGCACATCTCTGTAGACTTCTAAGAATGCTCTTGTTTTTGCTTTTTTATGTCCTACAGGATCCAGAAGTTATGGCTGCATTCCAAGACGTTGCCCAGAACCCAGCAAATATGTCCAAGTACCAGAACAATCCCAAGGTCATGAGTCTCATCAGTAAATTGTCTGCTAAATTTGGCAGTAAACCATAAAATCCCCGGTTCATAAAAATAATTTTTGAGTGGGAAGGGTTGATTTGGCTAACCAGTGTTGCAATAAAACAAACCATTGTACCTCTGATCTTCTTAAGAAGAGAAACTGTGTGTTCTAAGGAGAACTGCTCTCTAGCCCCAAATGTTGACTTTATTCAGTGATTGATTTACAGCACTCTAATTATATTCAGATGACCTAGTTTAAGCCATGCCTCCTTGTCCAAGAATTGCAACGTTTCATGGCAAGTATTAAATACAGTTTAACATTCCTGTGAGCAATATTCAGGAGTGTAAGATAAAAGCCTCTCTTTTTTGTTTGTTTGTTTTTTGGGTTTTCTGTCTTTTTTTTTCTTTAATTATTTTTCCTCAGTGAACAAAAAGCAAGGAACTTAGATGAAGTCTGTCTTAAACTAGTTAGGACAGAAAAATTGCCTACTCACGAGTAGCAAAGGTGGGATAAATCTGAAGAATTAACTGGATAAAGGTGTTGCCTACAAATAAAAATCCATACTGTTTTTTTTTTTTTTTTAAACAAGTGACTGACTTTATATAGATATTAAAACAATCAAAATAACCATGATAGTTAGTTTCACACTGGAACTTCTGGCAGTACTGCAAATATTACATTATCTTGATGATCACAGTCGTACAGCAAATGTGCTCTCCTATCCTTTGCACAACCTGGCATGAAGTACATACTGTGGAGGCCACAGGAGTTTTACTTATTCAGATATTGTCCAGCATGTTTATGTAATGTTGAGTTTGGGTTGTTGTTTTTTTTTTAATTAGTCTGGGTATGGGAGAGCAGCTTACTGTCTGTGCTTGTGCTCTTGTCCTTGCCCAGTTGGCAGGTCCTCATCTGGTAGCACTCGCCCTTCCTTGGTGTGTGCTTGCCAGGTTTCATCTATTTGGAAACTTTAGGGAAGGAGTCTGTTCTCATTGCTACCTCTGTCTCATCGAATGCAAGCCATCCAGAACATGTAAATATAGAGTTATAAATTGGTGACGGGGAGAATATCCAACAAGGTTGCAGCGTGGGGTTCTGAATTGGTTTGAGTCCTTATGTGCTTACAGATAAAACTTATTGGCAGAAGTCCTGTGTCTGTGTAGAGATGATGACTCTTCCTCCAGTGCATACTGTAGTCTTCTGTCTTTTTTTTCTTTTCTTTTCTTTTTTTTTCTTTCTTTTTTTTTTTTTTTAAGAGAAAGAGAGAGGTGGGGAGAAGAGAGAGGAAGGAAGGTATTTTTGTGATTTCGTACTTCCGTGCTTTTGAGACTTGGGATACGGAGGAAGAGATGAGTAACTAAAGCAGACAGAACGTTCTTCTAATGCTTATGAATTCTGAGCATGTGTATTCTTGAAGCTTTCTGTGCTGTTAATGGTGTTCATTTGTCTACTGTAAGGACCAGTGTTGCCTCTGCTTGTCTTAGTTAAAACATAAAACATCTTTCAGTGGAAAAGCGGTCACAATTAACTGTTCACTGCTTGAGTCTCAACATTTGTTTGTTACTCTTTTGTAATTCTGTATCTTAAGCCATAACTGTTGTTACCAATTTTAATTAAATCTGGATTGGTGTAGGAATTAAAAAAAAAAAAAAGAAAGAAAAAAGAAAAGTAAATCCCCAAATGCTTTTTCTCATACTAATGATCCTGCAGAGTAAAATGTGAATCTTTTTGCTTAAGAAATATAGTTCTGAATACTTCTAGTAGCCTTTCAAAATAAAGTATGGTTTTGGAAAATAAAACTTCTTGGATTTGTGTAACTTTCTGATAGAACCTATTTTGCTGAAGTTAAATGTGGAAATGCTTCAATTAAACTGTATATATATGACCTGTGATTTAAATTAGAACTAAGTGCTTAATGGTTTGTCTTGGTGACCAAGCAAATTCAAGCTATGATGGAGTGTTGCTTTGTGCCCAGCTTTTGATCATTCTCTGATCTCCTGTTCCCAAGAGGAGAGGCTTGAAGTAGGCCACCCCTTGGCACAGACTGAAGCTCTACTTCTGCTTCATTCATGCTGTTGCATATATGCTCTGTGTGATGTAGTCTTTAATACAGATTAATTCCCTACGGTTTCCTCTTACTTCCTCTTGGCTGTTTGTATTTGTCTACCCATAGCTAGTCAAAAGTCAGAAGCTACCCCAGTAGAAATGGTCATTCGTGTGTCCTGTCTGCTTGCTTACACATCGGTTACCCTTATTCAGAGTTAATTGATGCTAACAAAATGTTCTCCCAATTCCTTTGGTTTTAGCTTTAGCAGCGTAGCTGAATTCTTTTGTCTGTTTGGGAATGCACATCCCATGACTCGTTTATGTGGTCTTTGTTTTCTTTTCAGTGCTATCTGGTAAGATAGTTGAAGAGATCTCTGGACCTCATCTCAGTTCCCCAGGATGCTGCATTGAAACCTAAGCAGCTAAACTGCTTTGAACAGAAGTGCAAGTGCAAAAACATAACTGCACTGGAGAAGAGCAAAGATGAGGATAGTTCCTGTTCTGGGGTACAGGTAGCTACGAGCAAGTAACTTTTCTGTTCAGAACTTGCTCCAGCATTTACTGGCAGTCCTTGAGGTTAATTGCTCCATTGCAGCACAGAGTAGGGATTGTGCTTATCAGTACAGCGGCAGTAATTCAGCTTAGCTGACAACTTGACTTTGAGAACAGAATGTTTTTTAAAAATTGCTCTCGTTTCACTTTTGGACTGCGAATAAAGAGCACTTGCCAAATTAGCTTGGTTTTCCTTAATTTGGAAGGTGGTAATCAGATGGGTGGGAGCCAGACTCTCAGATTTGGACAAAACTGGGCTGAGTGTGTCAATAAATGAGTATTAAAAAGCCATGTGAAGGTAAAACCATGTGGTGAAACAGATAACACTTTTGCTATTTGCAGCAAGCTGGAGTTCCAGGTAACCTGTCTTGAAACACCGCTGCAATTTTTCTTGTTACCTCACTGGACATGTGGAAGTGAAGTGTCACTATGGGAGCTTGTAAAAACTGCTGTCTGAACAGAATCCTTCATCCAGAGGGACAGGAGGTAAGGGCTTAGGCAGGATGAGCTGGAGCCAGGTCAGCTTTGTGTACTTTCCCGTGAGTTGTAGCATGCTCCTGATGAGAAGTGTTTGGAGCCCTCTGGAAATTCCACAGGACATCTAGGATGAGTGCAGTGATTTTGTGATTGTAGAGCAGGTTAATTTGTTGGATTAGTGGTAAGGCTGGTGAGTTGTTTTATCAGCTGCAGCCTAGTCTGAAAGTGTCTGGTGCCAGTGCAGAAGTGGATTGATGTCCTCAAGCAGGAGAGTAATAAGGTAGGAATATGGTAGCAGGATGTCATTGTTCTGATGCTTAGGGAAAGATGTCTCATTAACCTCTTTCAGAGCTTTGCAGAGGTGAGCTTTGACCTTACTTTGTACGGTGTTTCTACATACTGTAGAAACATGATTCTGAATTAGCAAAGAGATGGAGTAAAAATAAAACTTCCACAGACAGCTGTGTTGAGTATTACAGAGCAAGTCATGAGAGTCTCATTAGAGTGATAGAAGCAAATGCAAGTATGAGGGAAGCAGGAACAGTTTTAGTGTAATGAAGAATAGATCTGGTCAAATGGTGACTGGCTGATTTGTGCTACAAAGCAACATAGATTTTCAGGTGTCTCTGGGGTACGAATAATTGATCACCTTGTGAATCAGAGCTTAGGTAAATCTCATTCTTTTGATGTGGTCCTCACAAACAGGAACTTTGTGAGACCAAGCTTCCTACATCCCCTCTGACTGGAGGTCCTACTGAATGTAAATACCAAGGACTGTCCTGTAAATCTGAGTCTTGATAACTAACCAAGTCAAGATGGTAACTTACAATTTTGCTAATTATGTTATTACTGTACCTGACTGATGTACAAATATGCTTTGGAAATGTATATTCTAGGTGGATGGTCTCAGATAAGCTTGAGATCTGCCTGTCAATAAATAAATGTATTTGCAGAATGTGTTATGGCTCTCTGTTAAGTGGGTGGCAAAACTTGGCACCGTTTGTGATTACGCACGTAAGTACATTAGCTTATTAAAAAAATAAACCAGCTTTTTTTTATGCATTAGCACTTTGGCGGCTACAAGAAGTCAGATTCTGCTAGCTGTAGATAAATATGAAAGATTACAGGACTTGGGACAGCAGCTTACCATGGAACTTCTTCCTGAAGGACAGCCATAGAAGCAGAGATGGTAAGTATAGCTTGTACAGAACAAAAGCATTCAGATAGAGAAGGTACTGTACATGAGCTGTGAGATGAACAACAAGGAAGTGAAGTCTAAATCACTTAATAGGAAAGGGAATTCCATTATTAAAACTTCAGTTTCCTAAACTGAATGTTCTCATTTAGGAGAGTAAGAGTCTTTAGAAATTAGTTTGCATTCTGTAGTCATAAAGTATCATAGCAGAAAAACAGACCAGTCACCTTAAAACCACTGCAGCGTTTAATAAAATTACTCTTTAAAATAGGATGAAGGAACAAAGTTATTATAAAGCTACCAGAATTAAATGCAAAAATATCAAGGCATTACATTGAGAATAAGCTGGCTACTGCTAATTGCACTGCCTCTTATTAGAGAACATGTGCTGAAGGTCAGCCACTGACATCTAATTCCCATCTGAAAAATAAAAGCTAATGGTTTGTAAGGAAAAATGAAATGCAACTGTTCATTAAAAAATAATAATAATAATAAAAAAACACAAAAACCTTTTTGTTATCCTGAAATAGGGAAAAGTATTTGAGGAAAAAAAATAGATTTTCAAAGCTATTTTGTAATGCATGGTACTTTTTTTCTTTAGTCTCTTGGATGACAGTTTCTCAAACTAGAAGTGAAAATCCAAACTGGAATGAATTCTGAGCCTCTTTGGGAGGACAAAAGCAGAAGATTGCAAAAATGTGCATCAGAACAGATGCTAGATATTTACAAGTGCCTGGGAAAGAAAACAAACAGCAAGGTAACAAAGCTTGTGTTTGACAATTCATTAGTCTATGGAAAACTAAAACTGGCTAAGAATTACTTGATCAACTACTATGAAGTGGTATGAGAGGAGACAATACTTGCAAACGCAAGTAACTTAAAGCTGGAAAACTTTTCAACTTCTTTGCTGTCACTGGGCCTAAAAAACGCGTGTAGGGAAAACTCGGTGGTATTCCAGAGGCTCAAAGTCTGTTCAGTTGCTTAATAGGCAAAACACATGCATGTATGCACTTAAGAAATGGGCTTTTAATATGTTTTTGATTGCAATGCTTTCTTTTGGAATAGGTTGGTGTTCCGACTGATCTTAAGTATGAACTCGCCAAGTTTGTACGACCAAACACTGCTGCTCAATGAATTCAGACTGCTGATCTGTAGTTGCTTTAATCTGTGAGGACCATACTTTCAGGGCATAAGTTTTGCTACCGATTCAGAAAATGCTTCTGAAAATAGTAGTTAAATCTCTTCACATTTCCAATCTTGAGTGAATTTCTGAGCAGAAAAAAGATGTACAGTTCTCTTTTTTTCTGTAAATTAGTATTTACACAAGGATATGCTCAGTATATACACAAGGAATGTAGCAGGGTAAAATAAGTTTGAGTTCAGTGTTCTTCATTTGCTAAGGTAAGACAGTGCAGAGGGAGTAAATTTGACTCTGGAGTCATTAAGTGTCATCATTCTACGTACTGAATTAGAAACAGAATGTGGGTAGGCAAGAGAAATGTTGTCAGTGGATGTTACTTAATTGTCCTGAGGTCCTTTAACTTATGCAAACTTCTTGCAGAGGAGAGGAAGTCTGACAAAATGGTGTCTGCCGTGGAAGTGCACGAAGGTGTGTCACTGAATTCCTCCATGCAGGAAAAATGGCACCCACTGACACTGATGTTTGCTGAACAGCTGTGGAGACCAACCAGTGGATGTGAGCACAGTGAAGCAGTACATTTTTGCAGTGGTGACAGCGATGTGAAAGACAAGCCAAGTTTTGGGCAGCCATGCATAGCTGTCACACCAAGAAAATGAAGAGCATAGCAATTGGCTCATCAGTGTGAATCAGCAGATTACAATCAGGGAGCTGTGTATGGAGTTGAATGTCGGCTTCCCTCTTGTGTTTTACAGTGCTTATATCCGAGCTGCAGTGATCTTGTGAAGGAAGACAGAACTTCTTGGACCTGTTGCACTTCTGTACCTTTGTGGGTTCTGCACGTGCTAATATTCATGTGCAATTTAAGTGTTGGAAATGGTGGTGGCAGTGTTGGAATATCACAAAGTTTGTGCTGGGTGTTCTGCATATGCTCATGTGGGAACAGAAAGAAATATGCAAGTTTGCTAGGACCTGTTCTACCAATACAAGGCTGAAGGTGACAATTTCTTGTATTTCTCCCCGCTTGCGGTGGGGAGGTGTGGTGTCACTGCTGTGAGCTGGAGTCAAAATGGTGCTCCGTGGACTGACAACATTTGAATTCCCTAGGAAATAAGTTCAAGATGGGTTTGAAGGAAACAAGTTCATTGGTTAAAGTGATGTGCGCTGTCTCTGGGGAGAGGAAGGGGTGATCCTCCTGGATTTCCTGGAGCCCAGACAAACCATCGGCTTAACACTGCCTAAGCTGAAGGCTTTCGTCCTATCGCAGTTACCCAGGAGCGGAGGCCGACCCGCGCCTCGCCACAGCCTCCTTTCACGTCATGGCAGAGAGCGACGAACTCCCCCCTGAGCTCTTCTTGTCCAGCCTGACCAACCCCAGCCCCCTCAGCCGCTCCCCATCAGCCTCGTGCTGAGGCGCGGCCCCGCGCATGCGTGCAGCTGGGAGGGCCGGGCGGAGGCGGTGCTACGTGACGGCGCGGAGGTGCGCGGGAGGGCGGGCGCAATGGCGCGCGTGGGGGCGGCGGTCGATAAGCTGGACGTCCGCGCCACCGCCGCCTCGCAGCCGAAGCCCACCGGAGCCGCGGCCATGTCCTCCGTCGTCTCTTACGAGAGCCTGGTGCACGCCGTGTCCGGCGCCGTGGTGAGCGGGCGGGGCGGGGGAGCTGTGCGGCGGGTCGTGCGAGCCGATGTGGCGGGTTTGGAGCGAGCGGGCGAGCTGCTGCAGCGCTGCGGTTGGGTCACTGCGGGCAGCCGGGGCGCACGGAGCTGTGCTGCAGCTGCTGCTCGGCAGGGCAGGAGGTCGAATTCGAGGCGTTCGAGTGAGTTGTGGTTGGATGAAAGGCGCCAGGTGTTACTGAACAATAAAAGCTGATTATATATTGGCCTGCCACGGAAAGTAAAATATAACTTTTAAGGTTTCCGTAGCGCAAATCAACGTTCTCTGGTCTTTAGGGCGTACTGGGTGTGCAGCTTCAGGAATCTGAGGTAATGGGGGGGGTTGTTTCCCGTTCTGAGGATGGGAAGCCCCTCACGTGAGCTCACCGCTGGAACGCTGCACGCTTTCCCTTGGTTTGCACAGAACACAGCAGTGCTTCCCGGCCCTCCCTGCCAGCCTCACCTGTGTGTACAGACTGGGAGAAATAGGCTGTGCCCCTCATCGCAGCTTCTGATGCGAACCAGAACCATAAATCCGTGCATAAACTCAATGCCTGATAGAATGGCACCTCAGCACCCTGCTGGCGATAGGCTGAAGGAAATTCCCTCTTGTGTTTCACAGTGCTTACACATGAACTGCAGTGATCTTGTGAAGGAAGACAAAACTTCTTGGACCCATTGCACTTCTGTACCCTTGTGGGTTCCACACGTGCTAATATTCATATGCAATTTAAGGCCCCAGAGCAAGACCTTTTTCTGAAAATGAGCTGGCTTATTTTATTTCCCCTTTGTCCAAACCATGTTATGCTGGAAACCTTGGCTTTTGTTTGTATTTTGTTATAATAAATATCTTTTAATCCACCTATAGATTTGTATGGTGCAGTAATACATGAATTTTGTCAAGTTCTCTTATGCAGGTGCATAGTTTGAGCATTGCCTCAACTTTTGCTTAAATTATCGTAAGGCTGATGAGGAATGGGGCTGTTCAGCCTGGAGAAGAGAAGGCTCTGAGGTAACCTGATAGTGGCCTTTCAGTATCTAAAGGGGCGATACAGGAAAGAAGGGGACTGACTCTGTAGCAGGGTCTGTGGTGATAGGACAAGGGGAAATGGTTTCAAACTTAAAGAGGAGCGATTTTAGGTTGGTTATAAGGAAAAAGCCTGGGTTGCCCAGAGAGGCAGTGGATGTCCCATCCCTAGAGACATCCAAGGTCAGGCTGGAGGGGTTCTGTGCACCCTGATTGAGCTGTAGGCGTCCCTGTTCTTTGCAGGGGGATTGGGTGACCTTTAGAAGTCTCTTCCAACTTGAAGGATCCTATGATTCTATAAAAATGCAACCTATGAACTGTGCTGAAGTGATGAATCAGAGCAACATGTCCGATCACAACATCATCACTTTTGCTTTACTTCCAGTTCGATGAAAGTCCATCCTCTGGACTACCAGGTCAAGTCTGAGACTAACTAAATTAAGAGTACTGTGAGCAGCAAAAAAAAAAAAAAAAAAAAAAAAGACTTTAACTGGATTATAGAAGTGTTTTTTAATCTCTGCATATAGCTGTAAAGTAACCTTGTTCCAAAAGCTATAGGAATAACAGCTTTATAGAAGTATTAAGGCAGTGATTAAGCTACTCTGAATATTGACTGTCAACACATTTTTTTTTTTTTTTACATCTGAAAACCAGCAGACTGTAGACTTTGATCACGCAGACCTCTTCTTGGCAGTGAAGTCACCTCAGGCTGCTTGTTCTGACTGCTTATGACCACCCCCTGGTTCCTGCCAGCTGCTGGTAGCACTGTGGTGATGCTGAAAGAGTGGCCTAGTGGGAAAAGTTCTGCTTTGGTCAGATAAGCTTCCTCGCCTTCTGCATCAGCATGTAGCTGCCCCTGTAGTTACACCCACAGAATGGATGTGATAGGGGAGCATTGCTTACCACCAGCTGAAATTGCTTAAGCCAGTTTGTACCTGTTCTGGAGATCGTTCAGTGATAGTTTGACTTGAATTGGGAAAGTGCTGAGCTTCAGCACTGACTGAAAGGTGGTGGGAAAGCAGAGTGAAATATCCCCTTTTTAGCAGCACAGGGCTGTAGGCTGCCTTGCATGTACCTGCACACAGCAGTGACAGTTACTTTCTCCTGGTATCACCATTCAGAGCCTGAGAGCAGTTTCGTTGCTGAGGGCTGGTTCCACTCATCTCTGCCTCACCCTTCTTTCCTGTTGCCACTATATGATACTTCTGGCACTCTTCAGACTGCAGTTGAGTTGTTTCATTTACAAGCCCAGCGAAAAAGTAATGCTGCTTCTTTCAGTTTCTTCTCATCAGTTTATCTATAGGAAGAGGAGAGGTACAAATTATCTTTCATTGGCTGTAATCTGTTAATCAGCTGAGCTAGCTCATGGCTTTCTCTTGAGCCATAGCTTCGTGTATGGTTTTAAGAAGCCCGTACCTTGTGCCCACCTATTTGTCCTGTTGGCTTCTACCCAAACCTTTCACAAATGTTCCCCCAGTTCCGTTTTCTTACTTGAGCATGAATGTTAAGGTTGCTGTGGGGAGGATTGCCCTAAGAGTGGAATTCAGGCTAAATCTTTCTTTGGGGATGAGTTGAACATGCACCAAGTGCCCCTGCTGGTTAAGCTGAGCAGCTGGGTGCTGGGAATGAGGGTTGGTAGGAGCAGGGGAAGGCTGCTGGAGCTGCTGGACCATGCCCTGCAACCTTCCCACCACTCGTTAGTAGCTGTATGGCTACTAATGGAAGGGTCTGGTGGCTCTAGCAGCCATTTAATGTTAACAGTCTGTGGAAATATTAAATACAAGTTTATATCAAGCCACATTCTTTTTGAGTTAGATATTTTCTCAAAAGCTGTGCAATATTAATGCAGATGTATTTGGTAGGTAGGGCTTAATTATCTAGACTGGGATTTAGTACAGTGCTAGATGAAGTCCTGAAAATGGTAGGTAGGGCTTAATTATCTAGACTGGGATTTAGTACAGTGCTAGATGAAGTCCTGAAAAGAAAAAAAAAAGTATATGTAATGAGTGACAGTTTGGTTTTTGTGTTTTTACATTCTTTATTTTTACTTCTTTAAGAACAGTGGTCCTGTAGAACAGCAATTGCTTGTCATTCTTTCCTCTTAGAATCACAGAATCTGCAAAGTTGGAAAAGACCCACAAGATCACCCAGTCCAACCATCCACCTATCACCAATAGTTCTCATTAAACCATGTCCCTCAACACAAAATCCAAATGTTCCTTGAACACCTCCAGGGTCTGTGACTCCACCACCTCCCTGTGCAGCCCATTCCACTGCCTGACCACTCTTTCAGAAAAGTAGTATTTCCTAACATCTCCCTGGTGCAGCTTGAAGCCATTCCCTCTAGTCCTATCACCAGTTATATGAGAGAAGAGGCCAACTCCCAGCTCACTACAACCTCCCTTCAAGTAGTTATAGAGAGCAGTAAGGTCTCTGCTGAGCCTCCTCTTTTCCAGACTGAACATTCCCAGCTCCTTCAGCCTCTCCTCATAAGACTTGTGCAGACCCCTCAGCAGCTTTGTTGCTCCGGGGCCTCAATGTCTTTCTTGCAGTGAGGGGGCCCATTTCTTTGCCAGAAATAGGAGATATTGGCTAGTAAGAGTTAGGGAAAGTTAGTGGTACGTTTCTCTCCTAACACACATTTTGTCAGCTCACATACTTCAGTAGTTTTCTCTTTGGACAAAATGCTTTGAGTAGTTTTAGCTTTAGCTTGATCTAATAATCTGTAAGTAAGAAAAGTCATTTGTAAGTATGGAAGCAAACCCATTCCATCCATAATATTCTTACATATGGAATTTGTCCCTTCTTCAAACTTACTACACCAGTTTCTGGGTAAGCAAAAGGCTACCAGAGAGTTTGTCGGGTATCTGTGCAAGCAACTGATACACTATGTAGCCAATTTATTTCTCTATTTATTTACTTTCAGGGCAGTATGACTGCAATGACTGTATTTTTTCCTTTGGATACAGCTAGGCTTAGACTTCAGGGTAAGTGTCAAACTCAGTTTTCTTTGTACAGTGGCATTTGTGTTTTCTTGTCGTGGGAGTTTGTAAGGGTTGTTACAGGGGGGCCTGTCTTGCATGAAGAAGAATCTCACTTGTGCAATGCCTTTTGATTGCTAACACCATGTTTCCAGCTGAAGGTAATTCTCCCTTGAGAGAGTATTGAGCAACCTTTTAATTAGCTGGAAAGACTGTGTAATCCATGCCCAGATTTGACTTCTAAATGGGTTTCTTACACTGAAAAGAAAGAGATGTGACATGACGCAGGATTACATGTGTGTGGTGCTGGTTTTTTTGGCTACTGAGAACACTTGGCACCGCAGGGACATGTTGTGAAAAATGAGCCTGGAATTATTTCTGGGAAAGGTGTAAAGGGAAAAGTCAGAGGCAGAACTGGGAGCAGGAACATCTGATATTTACACAAATTCCATCTGGGTATAAACTCTGTTCTAATGCTCTCTCCTAATCAAAAAATGTCACAGAATTAACAAACACCTTAGCGCTGTGATTCGAGTACTGTTGAAGCATGAGCCAGGTGGTCAAAAATGTGTGGTGGAGAAGTTAACACCGTGCTGCTCTTGAGCAGTTTTCCACCCAGAAAAAGGCAGTGCAGTTGGTAACTGCAGACACACTGGTGCCCAAAAGAAGCTGCTCGCTGGGAAAAGATGGAAGTGCCAAATAGCCTTCCCCAGCAAGTGAGAGTCAGGAGATGCTTTCTGGAATTTCTGCAGAAATAGGCTGTGCCTGTACAAGGAAAAAGAAAAAATATGCTGTTTGTGGATGTGTTCAGAATGGGAAGGACAAAGAACTGAAAGTGAGGCCTGGCCATCGGCATAACCTAAAAATGTGATTCTTCTGTTTCCCAGTTGATGAGAAGCGAAAGTCTAAGACAACACCAGCAGTTTTATTGGAAATCATCAAAGAAGAAGGCCTGTGAGTACATCCTAATTTTCCCCTCACCCTTATGTAGGCAAATTCTAAAACATGGTTTGAATTTGCTTTTAAAGTGGAGGAGTTAGCCCAAATCCATGTGAACACACATTTCTGCTTTGAGGGAAAATGTCCCCATGTCTAAGTGAGATGAATGGCTGAAGCTGCATTTTTTCACCTTGATTGGCTTAACTTTCTTGGTTATGTTATGCAGTCAAGCTGTTTAGCCATGTAGCTGTGCCTCCATGAGTGAGGGGGCTGTGCTCCTTCGGAAATGAAGGTACGGTTGCACACAAACCTGCATGTACCTGATAAACCAGCTTTGTCTGCCTGAATTCTTGGGTGTGTCCATTTCTCCTAGCACAGATGAAACTCTTGGACAGCTGAGCCTCTTTGTGCAAGAGAATTGAGACATATTTACCAGCTGGAAGTTTCTTCTGGTAAGCAAGGTGGAAGGAAACAACTGATTTTTTGTGCAGTGCAGTTGGTAACTGCAGACACACTGCTGCTGGTGAGATTTGAGGCCTGTGGAAAAG